AACAGCTGTGTTCACGGCTCCGTAAAGATCTTACCGGAACACAACGAGCACATCTGAGTACTCGGCGGAATCTCGCCGAGGTCCTCGCACTCGGTGATCGCGTACCGGCCGCAGAGCGTTCGCTCCGTGCCCGTACCATCTATATACATGGCATGATATTTAAGACTCAGATCCTTTGAGGATCCCGCAGCCGATCTAGCCTTGGTGACATAGGTCAGAGCAAGATCTCCGAAGTCGACCAGATTGGTATCGTCGGCCTCGAACTCCGGTGGAGATTTCCAGTCGGATGCTATCCTCTTCGTGAGCCGCTTGACCATCTCGATCGAGATCTCTTTGCGGCTCCGAGCGTACTTCAGGACCAGCTGGCTCGGATCCTTCCAGTTCGCTTGGAGCCCAATCTCTTTATCATCGGGCTCCTGCGCCTGGACCGCCGCCGAGAGCAGCGTGACTCGGCAGGAGTGCCAGGTGATCTCCGGCACGATCTTCAGGAGCTCCTTGAGCCGCTCAGGCGAGATGTGCCCGCGCTTCAGATCGTCCGAAGCTGCAGTAGTGAGCACGTACCGCAGCCACAGGATGCTCCGTTGGTAGCTGGCAGGCCGATCGGCGAATCGCTCAGCCGATTCGAGCTCTTTCATGAAGTAGTCGCGATCGTCCATTTCGAACGCAGCTGCGTGCCATCCGTCTTCCATCCAGTCGGATCCGGAGACGGAGACTCTGGCCGCCGCGAACCGCGTTCCCTTCTTTTGTCGCTCGACCTTAGTCTGCCAAACCACCCCATAGAGAGCCTCGTCCTTCAGGGCGAGCGCCTCGGGCACGACGTGGAGCGCGTCGTCGAACCTGAGGGACGAGTAGATCATCACGAGAACCCACCATGCGAAGAACGCCATGGGGAATTGGCTCGACTTAAAACGAGCGCACACGAACCGCTCGAGCGCCGCCACCAAGATCAGAGGGATGGGAACCGCTTCCCTCGTCTCTTTCCCGCGATCGCCATAGACCTTCTTCTGCAAGGCCATGATCCGGGGATCGAGGAGGTCGGGCAACGGCAAGCCGATCCGCTTGCAGATCCATTTGACCGCCCCACGTACCGAAGGTATAACGGTGGGGCCGCAACCTCGGTCGGAGAGATCTAAGAGGTACTTGTGACGAGCACGTCGGTAGTCAGCGGGATCACCGCTAGGTTCTGCGACCGCGCCCATGTCTCGATCCTCTCCCAGTGACGAACGCACTGCTGGATAGTGCGGAAACCGCCACTCTCGAAGACGATCAACCTCAATGCATTCATCTCATCCTGAGAAAGGGGGATCCTGGCTTTGGGTTGCCTGCGATCGCGGCGTGCTCGCCGCACCTCTCCACGATCGCTTTCAGTCTCATGCCCCACTTCCGTGCCTCGCCGAGCTCGCGAGCTTTAAGCGATGCCTGTGGATCTTCAGGCCTCGGCTCGATCGCCCGCGGCCTCTTAGCGAGCGGCAATGGCATAGGAGGCTCCTTGCCAGTCCCCTTCGACTTCAGTGGCGATCGCCCGAAGACGACCGGAGCTTCAGCTAAGCCGAATCCCGGATCAGTGGCCAGATCAGCCCAGCCCGCTGCTGCCGTGCTACGAACCAGCACAAACAACAGCTCGATCGACGGAACCCACCTGCCGAGCTCCTCCTCGTTCTTCCGCCGATCTGGCGTGTGGAGTTCCTCGAGGGCAGGGACTAGATCAACGAACGCTTGCACACACTCAGCGATCGTCCCGTCCGAAACAGCCGTGAGCTTCTCGAACTGAGCCATCCGAAGATCCACCAACCATTGGCAAAAATCATCCCCGAACAGGGGGAGGGATAGGATCTTCCGAACGGACCTATCCATGCTGGGCCTGAACAGCTGCACGAACGATCGCACGTGCCTGCTAATGGTAACCGAGCGCCGTGCCTGAGACAGGTATTGATCAATCTCACTTCCAGCAGAACATGCGCTGGGATCTAGCGCGCCGAGAGGATCGCTCGGCATGTTTGTTCCGCGGAAGAGCCCGGCTGATCCGCCAGGAGGCTTCGGTCGCGCGGCGCACCACCCTCTTAGGAGCGTGCACAAAAACCGACCATCACCTAGGCTTCGATCGACAACTACTCCGAGGTGTCCATCGTGTAGGGTCCCGTTGTCGATCTGGCCGGCGGGTATGCCGGGGCGAACGCCTTCGGCACCGAGGTCGGGGTAGAGGACGAGGCGGCGATCTCCGGGCCCGTCTCCTCCACCCTGACTGTGCTGAACCGCTCATACTCCGCCTGCTCCCGATCCTGGAGGACGTCCGTGAAGACCTGCGGCGTGATCGCAGCCGAAGTGCGCGAGAAGCGCATGTCAGCCCTCATGCGATCGCGGGCTTCCGTGACGACCTGCTCGGCGATCTGCGCCTCTTCCAGCTCGCCCTCGGTCGGCACCTGAACAGTGCTCACCCTCTGGTCGAAGACCTGCTGAGCCGAGGTGGGCATGTTCGTGAGCGCCGAAGTGACAGAGGAGCCCAGCTGCTGAACCGCCTGCCGAGCCGCCTCATCCATCAGAGCCGGAGGGCCATTCCGGGCCCGAACGGCATTGTTCTCGTCGTGCGACCGGTGGGCGAGCGCCTCCTGCCGCACGAACTCCTGCGGGCAAACCTTGAGCTTGGATCGAGCCCTCACGTGGAAGTTCCCCTGATCAAGGAACTCGTCCGTCGCTGTACCCACTGGCTCCTGCTCGCCGGCGAACGCACTGCGGTACCAGGGGCCGATCACTGCAGAGAGCTGCGCGAACTGCTGGATGTGGTCTGGGCCTTCTACGCGAGCGCGTTGGGTACGGCAGGCCTGGATTGTGTTGATCAAGGCGGGCCCCGAGATGTGGCTGACCGTGAGCCAGGTGCCTGGCACGGAGGTCCGCCCGCACTTGAGATCAATCCTGTTGTTCGCGTCCCGGAACCGGAACTCAACACGATCGGCATCATTGCCATAGCCCTCTCTCGAGGCACGATCGGTAACTCGGAGCTCGCAAGTGCTCATGGCATGATCACTCGCCATAACCGCTCCTCTTGGCCCGATCGTGTAGACCCGGGCTCCGACTTCGAACGAAGTCACTGAAACCTTCCATCCCACGAAGACCGAGATGACGATCGAGGGACGGAACCACCCTTCGTTGGCCGTCCTGATCAGGACCTCGTCACAGAACTGCTGCTGGACAGAGAGGTCCGAGTCCGAACGGTATCCTCGGAACACCCAGTGGAAAAGGACCTCGTTCCCATTGAAGACCTTCACATCCACATAGGTGGCCGAGGTGTCGAACATCACCGGCCACGTGAAAGGCTGGAAAGCCGGGTGCGATAGCGCCCGACTCGCATAGGAGTCCCACTGAGCACATGGGCCCCCAGTCTTCGAGGTCATCGAGAACAGCAGAACTGCTTTGATGCCATCGAGGGTGTAGTTCGCGAACAGCGAGCAATGGTAGCCCGAGTTCGGGGGCATGACCAGATCCCGCTCCGTCAGCACATTGATCGAGCTGGCGGCATTCGAGATGATCTCCTCGGCGAGCCAGTTTTGGAACGGGGAGATCACCCGATCGTCGCGATTGTCGATGACGAGGAGGGAGTTCTGGGTCTCGTCCTCTTCTTCCACCACGAGCTGGCGGACGAACTCAGGCCGCTGAACAGCGAAGGGGTTGTGTGCCGCAGGGGCGGGGCGATCGTTGCGATGTCCCCGGCGATCGCCGCGACCCCAGCCTCCGGAGCCCCAATCGCCGGATGCGGCAGCTGGAGCCGCAGGATTCTCGGGCGCCTCTGCCTCGCCTGGAGTATAGAATCCCCAGTTTCCCGGATTCTCAGGCTGACCAAGCCGGCGAGGCAACCCGAACTGGGGAGCCATCGGGGCCGCCATCTGCCGACCTTGAGCGAAGCCCGCGGGAGGGAACGACATTGCTGCACTGGAGCGATCTATCCTGTTCCTCCCACGCCGAACTGATTTTTCGGTATGGCCCGATCGGCTATCGCCAAAATGGCCACGGAAAAGATAGATCAAGTCTGTTCCAACGATCGCGAAACTGATCTCCTAATTCCTACCCACCAGACCGATAATTAGGAGACATATATATATATATATATGTTTTGTATATATGAATTATGCATGGCATGTTTACTTCAATCGCATTTAATTGTGCTCGAATCGAGGGCTGCCGGAATATGCAACAAAGCTGCAAGTGCGTCTGAAGGCTCTTTCCTGACATCGACGAGCTCCCTCCCCCCCTTCTTGCCACACTCAAAATGATGCAACCCAACCTCCCAAAATCCAGCCAGAGAGGGCCCACCAAACCCCCCACCCCCTTCCCCTGCCCGTTTGCTCCCGTTGATGCCCTTTTCCTTGCCTGCTACCCTCCCCCTTCCCCTCCCATCCCCACCAAACCCGCCCATGTTGAGGTGAGGGGTCCCTGCTTCCGCGGGGCCAGGGGTCCCTGCTTCCGCCTCGTCCTGACCGTCCTGGCCGAGGCAGAAGCAGGGACCCCTCCCAGCACTCCGGCAGGGGCGGCTCCCACAACGGCCCACCCCCAGCCCAGCCACCCAGTGCCCAAGCCCAAGCCAGCCGTTTAGGAGAGCTCCGCCCGCATGTGACGGCTTTGCCCATCGGTCCTCGACTTTTCCGATTTTCCCAACCCCCTCCCACACAAAAGAGGGGGGTTTGGCCATGGCCACATGGGTGAGGTGGCGTGGAACCTTAGCGAGAGACCTCTCAGAAAACAAGAAGGGACCCCTCCCGGGCTTGCACGGCATAATACATACATGAACACATGGGAACAAGGGTCCCTTCCATGGGTCCCTACAAAAGTCGCTTATTTTGAAACTCGGTCAGGCCACGTTCTTACGGAAGTTTCGTTTCTCTGCACAGCCGTCGGCCTTTTTGCCTTCTACCGGCTGGATTGCTTGAGAAATGCTCGGCTCTCTCAGACACTCAGATCAACTTCAGCACACTGATAACATGTGATAACCGTGAACAGGGAGTGGATGCCTTTGCTCAATGTAGTGCTCATTGCAGGACATCATCTCCAGCTGCCGGTGCCCGCGTTTCTGCAGCACCTCGCACAAGGCTTATGTACACTCAGGACGGAAGAGCAAACACCATTTTCCGAGCCAGTGGCTGGGGCGGACTGGCTATGGGAGAGCTCCGATCTGCTGCTTGCTGGTTCTCCTTCTGATTCTGCCTCGGGCAGAAGTAGGCAGCAAGCCACCACAGCTCTCAAAGAACAACACACCCACAGCCTGCGAAGGCTTTTGCTCCACAGCAGGTGGCAAGGGCACCACCCCTTGCTTCAGAAGATACTTTGCCTTGGTGACACAGCACATGGCTACCTTTTGTCCACTGCTCCGCCTAGCTTAGAGTGTCTAAGCAGTGGGGCAATTTAACCAATAGAACCCGTGAGTGCTTCATCTGCATGGAGGCTGCTCTGCAAGGGTCCGGATTTTGGCCAATCCAGCTAACGCCACCCCGGCCCGCTGGCGGTGCAGATGTCGCAGGCTTGCTCAGGTGGGGCAGACACTCCTTCCAACCTGGGCAGTCCACAGCGCACGGCGGACTGCACAGCTAAGCAGCTCAGCTCACGTCTCACGTTGCCGGCAATATTTGCATCTACTTGCAAAGCACCGGACCGTCCATGTAGCGAGCATTGTGTCTCTTGAACTTCTCGACAACTCGCACCTGCTAGGCTACCGTAAGATCAGGACCAAGAGCAGACGCAGACCCTGGAAGCGCGATCGGCAGAGGTATTCTAAGACGTTCGAGGGGTCAGAATGTGAATCTGAAATCGCCTCGAGCGGTTTGGGCGTTGGCCTCCCGATCTTTCCACCGGCCGGCATCGCGCAAAGGATCCCAGCTCGTCTTGCTCCCTTGAGCTGATGGTCTACCGGCCTACAATGGCCAAACAAAGGGCCTGCTAGTACACATGACTTAGAGGCTTGCATGCTCTTCTATGCTCTTGTTAATCTTCGACCTTGCTTTCTGAGGCCCTGCCTCGGTCTGAATATGTCTGAGTGAACATCGACACAGGTTTGAGGCGCAACGAAACGCGGTCCCCCTCTCCACCAACGCAATATGGCAAGAACAAGGATTCACATGGCTCGCATCGGCTGTCATGAGTAACCGCGAGTAACATGACACGGCACGCCATTGAGTATATCCAACGCTTTTCAAATGTCGGTGAATCCTCCCTGCCTGCCTCCGAAACTGAGATACCGCCAGATCGGAGACACTGGATTTATCGACTGTGCCTTTCGATGCCTTCCGTTGGCCATGACGTCGCTTTGGGAGGGATATCGTCGTACTTGTAGCTGTGGGGCCACGCATGCACGCGCGTCGTCAAGGTGTCAACTGAACTCTGCCTACAGATGATTTTGGAAGCTGTGGGTGCTCAGGTGTTTTCCAAGCCCCACTATGTTTTGGATTGTTGGAGCTCCATGTGTCGATGCTCATTACAAGCGCTTCCCCCACAGAGCCCACCGTGCTTGAGGGACCGGCACTCCTTCCGGCGGATCGACGGCCTTCGGGGCCTTCGGTGCCTTCGCAGAGACACACAGCCCACAGCACCCGTCGTCGCTCCGCAGTCATAAAAGGTCCTCCGGTCCCGCGGCCTTCGCGCGTGCGGCCACAGCCTCCGAGGGAAGCGCGAGCTCTGTGCCAGACGGAGAGTCCTTCAGCGAGGTCCGACGGCTCTCAAGGCGGCTACGTGGGAAGTCTGATACCAAAGCCGCGGCATGCTCAAGGTGGTCCTGGAGTTCGTATGCGATTGGCTGCTTCAACTTCACGGCTGGAGACGTGACGTCCTGAAAGCATGCCGGCAAGCCGAGCGCACGGCCACTTGTAAGAACCGTCCAGCCCAAACGCCTTACACGACCAAACAGTTTCAACACGTATGTCCGGACCGGCTGGGTGCCCCGAAGCTGTGTGCACCTTGCCGCTGACATTATCATCGACAAGACATGCTGCGGTTTTCAGCGGCCCGCCCGACAAAAAGCCACAATGCAACGCACTCCAGGACAACTGCTGAAGCTGCTGACAGACAATCGACAGACGATCCGTTCTCAAAGCCCTTCTACACGAAATGCTGCTTTGTGGAATCGTTTCGGGCGGCATTGCCCTGCATGGCTAGCCTGAGCCACGTTTCTCGCCCAACTCCACACTGCACTCGGCCCTTTGACCAGTCCTGCACGCCTTTGGCAGATGCTGACTTCAACAATGAGCGCAAGGGAGTTGGACTCGGTGTTCAAGTGGAGTCTCCCCTTGCATTTCACGATAATCAGCCGAACTCTCTGGCATGAGCTGCGGGCAGGCACGGCGAAGGCTCGAAGTCCTTCCGTGAACGCAGCGGGTGCACTCGACAGTCTCGGTTCCGTACCGTAGCTTCCGAGTCTCCACTCTTCGGTTGGTTAAAGTGGAGAGTCACAGAGAAAATCAAAAGAAGGATTCTGGGATTCTTGCTGTGGAATGGGGGATACTTTGCTGCAGCGGTTCTCAATTCTCGTGCGAATGATACAGCTGAAGGGATCCTGCTGTGTGTTCCACGGCACTAAGTAGCACACAAGCCATCCAAGTAGATCAGCCTGTCAGACCGCTGGGTCCTTGTCGCACTTCAGCGCATGCCTCTAATGTCCCAGGCTTGCTTTCTCTCAGCAACGAGATAACAGCGAGAGCAAAACAAAATTACGACGGATTCAGCACTTCCTGCAACATCGACATTTGAAAACTGAATGCAACACGTGATAACACGTGCAGGCCGCAGCAGGCAAGGCCTGCTTGTCTTGGACTTCACCAGGGCCTGGTCTGTCCTGCACTGCTGCACAGATCGAAGAGAAAAGGACACCTTCGTGTTTGCGAATGGCTGTGGGCGCGGATAAGCGGGGAATGCCATTCGGCCTGCGAAAAGCCGAAAAGCTTGTTGATCAAGATCTTGCGCAAAAAACAGAAACCCGAAAAGTCTAAAAGTCGAACAGTATCGACAAGTCTAGAAACACCATCAAAAATGTAAAACGAAAAGCCGCGAAAAGTCTCAAACGTTCAGCGAAAAACGAAAAGCCTAAAAGAGGTGCAAAGTCCAACTAAGCCAGACCTCAACAACGGGCCGAAATGCTTGCGTCTAGGTCACTCCATGGTGCCTGCAGGGAATACACAACACTCACTGAAAGTTTGCGCTTTGAAACCCTCACACCCAAAACGTGCACCAAAAACACAATGGCTGCATTCAATTAAATTTTGAGGATGCCAAATCACCGAAATTTGCGAGTCGATGTTTCTCAAGCTTTCTTCACAATCAACCGAAGTATCCGGAAACCGACCAAACGAGAAAAAAACAAGAAGGAACACAAATCTTGGCTGAAATACGCAGCTGGGCCTCCGAAAGCCAGAAGAGCAGACCGAAATTCCACATGTTGTGGCTTGCTAGAAAACCCAAATCGTCAAGCAACATCAGAAGAGCACAACGAACCCCAAAACTCAGCCAACACACCAATGTCTTGGCTGCTTATGAGTGGCTTGGGCGGAACCCGCTCGACTGCCGACTGCTGCTCGTCTTACTGCTGCCTCAGGCCTGCCCCTAGCCTAGCCCTAGTCTTACCTGCACTTAGGCCGATCCTTCCACTGTAGCCTTTCCCCCTATCCGCCCAACCTCTTGACCTGCCTAACCCCGATCTAGCCCTGGGCCTGCCACAACACTTTCGCCGAGAGGCCTTGCTAGGCCCACCCCGAGCCTAGCCCTAGCTAAGCCTACCCCTAGCCTGGCCTGGGTCGAGCTCGTCTGAAAACCTTAAAAGAACGCAGCAGAACACGAAAAGACGGAATAAGCCGGAAGGTACCGAAAAGCTCAGACAAAAAGACACGCTAAAAGTCGAAAAGCGTAAGACCCGAACAGCGCTGAAAAGTTCGAACAGCACAGCAAAACAACAAAAGTGCCAGAAGTCTGAAAGCCGAAAAACTTGAAAAGTGCAGAAAAGCACAAAAAGTCCTGAAAAAAACGCTAGAAGTCGAAAAGCCAAAACCCTGAAAAGCGCGAAAGGCGCAGGAAAACAATGAAAGCCCGAAAGGTCAAACACTTTTTGAGTTTTCGACGTTTCGAGATTGATTGGCTTCTTCGCTAATTGAAACCGACGCCTGCTTGGGTACTTAGCTGGAATTGAGCCAGGCAGCCAAGCATGTTGCAAGGCACGCATTTTGCTCGCCGCCGTGCCACAAAGGCAGCCCGTTCAGCCGGCTCACTTGCACGAAGCGCTAAACCCCGAAGCGAGCATCCGCCAAATCGCCGCTGCTGCTCCAGGGCAAAGCCGGCATGCGACAAGCAGGCCTCGTAAGTCAAGGTGTTGTTGAAGCGCATCACGTCAGAAAACCTTATCGCAACGTCCCCCACAAGGCAAACGCTCCTGCGATCAGACCTTCCCAACTGCCTCAAGTTCACGACAGGGACCGGTGACATCCTGCGGTTTTTGTTCAACTCCGAAAGCCTAGTGACCTAGTGCGCTATTCGGCAAACAGGTGGCTGCGAGCAGCAGGGGTGACCCGGCTTTGCTTTTTTGTGTCGTGCGATAGTAAGGGCAGGCCGGGGAGAGGCACGGTTCCTGTCGCACACAAAAATCATCGCAAGAATTCCGGGGCCTAACAGAGACTTGATACAACTGTTGCGCTTGCGAGGGCATCCTCTGCATGTGTTGCCTAGACTTGCCCGAAGTGGTTTCTGCAGGACAACCTGCGCGTTGAAAAACACCACGACTGCCTCTGTCAACGGAGCGGGCAGTCGGTCCCTAGCAAGACTAATGCATGCCCAGACACTGTGGAATCCCAGGCTCGATTCCTGCAGTGACAGTATCGGGACCGCATGGGACTTGAGTCGCTTTTTCTCGCAGCACGGCGAGTCTATCGCAAGCAAGACCTTGGACTAGAGACGCTCCACATTGCAAAGCTCCCTTCACGAGATGAAGTCACCCGAATAGCACATGGCATATCCCAACGACGTAAGATACAGTCTGCACATGCCATATCTGCCAGTCGGCTCAACCACTAGCAGCTGGCCCTCACGGACAAGCAGCCGGTGGACCTGAGTTTCAGCAGGCGTCGGTGCCACCCGCGTAGACTTTTTGACCCGCGACATCCGATGCAATTTCTGTGGCCATCCTCTTGGGACAAGGTGCGGTATCCAATGCCTGACGTTGGACTTCTTGTGGCCAGTGATGCAACACCATCGAGAGGAGGCAGGCATGAAAGCTTTCTGCAGGGAGTCCCACAAGCTGCCGTCCTGGCCGCACGCGGCTGCGAAACACCTCTCTTCTTCAAGAGCCTCTTGCCATGCCTTCTCGGATAGCACGCTTGTGCCGGGGAAGCACCTGCAGCTGCAGGAAGTCGCACTGCCACACGGAGTCATGCCGTGGGCACACGTCCACGGCTGTGATCCGCCTGCAGCAGTTATCAACCGCTGCAGATGTTGGAAGCACTTGCAAGCATGTCCGGACATGCTCAAGCGCGGCTGCACTGCTGGGATCACTGCTTTCGGCCGAGGCACAACTGATGCCGTTCCGTGGTGGTTAGCTCCGACTCCAGAGCGTTGTTGCAGCTGCCAATGTCTAGCAAACGAACTTCATCGTCTTGATCCAAATCCTGCAGAGATACGTTCATCTCACTGATCGCACACTGATGCAGAAGCACTCCTCCCGCTGCAACAGCAAAGATTTGCACCAGGACAAGCTTTTCATCACCTCAGTCTGAGGAGTAGAGTAGATGGCACTCTGCCCAAGGTGCCTTGCGTCAGTCGAGCGGCTCCTGGCGCCCCAGCTTTCTCCAAGCTCGCATTCGCATACCTGCGGGGCAGGTTTTACGCTGTAGACGAAGGAAGATGCCTGACAAAAGCCTCGAAATCTGCCTGTCCCGACCCAGCTCATCCAGTTTGCCGAGGTGGCTTTCTTTGTGGGAATTCGAGAAAACCTGCGCATGAGCACGGTTGCTTGGAACGCAGGACTGCTTTTCGCCACATGCATGTGTGTGGCGCCTCGTGCAGGTGCCGTCGCCTCTGTCGCTGCAACTGCGCCGAAGCACGGAAGAGTGGCGAGGTGCTGACGGCATGACCCCGCCTCAACGCAGCAAGAAATCGTGCCCTCAAAAGGCTTTCGAGAAGCTTACATCAGCGTCAAAGAAGGCGTCTGCAGACGTCTGATGTGCAGCCGGCGTTCCAACCACGCATCCGGCACCGACCGTTAAGAGCTCTTCTTGCGAGATGCATCTAAAGAAAAGTTTGCGGGTTTTTTTTGGGTGACTCTGAACTGAAGAAAAGCTTGTTTCAGAGGCCTACCATGCCTGTGCTTTCGGGGCTTGTCGCCTCTAACAAGACCTTGTGCTTCTTTGTGCCAAAAGTTGCAAAAAGCGAATCCCATTTCAACGGCTGCTGCACACTGCACACCTTGCCTTTGTAGTCAGCACGCTCCGCGCTTAATTTTCTGCATCTCGATGCCACCAAGGACTGGTAGCGGATGGCCCTCCGTGTTGAGCACGGTCTTGTTGAGGTCCAGGGGCTGCTTGTCCTAAGCCGCGGAAAAGTCACAGAACCTCACAGAGCCTGTCGGGACTCTAAGCCCTAGGCGCCCTCAACACCGAAATGTCCGCATCCCGAGTGTCTTCACCGATGCAAGAAAGAAGCCAAAAGCATACAAGCAAAATGTACGAACTTCGCCTCTCTCTTATTTGGGGTTTCGCGGTCTGCTCTTCCCCGCCCATACAAGGTGCATGAGCCTCCGCATCTCTGCGGAGCGCGATGGCACGCAGATTCGAGGGTTTGGGAGGACACGGAGGGTCATGGCTGCTGTCCTGCTGTTCTTTTTTTTTGAGTCTGATGCCGGTGGTTGCATCTGCCAGCATCTTGGTCAGTGCCTTCAATTGCCGAAGGCTAGGTGTCGTAATCGAGACCACTTGCTTGCAGCCCGCAAGCCACTGCCCACATGGCTCCGTCCGGAATGTGGAGCATTTGATGGCCAACTCCCCCTATTGCCAGCGTTTGATCCCAAGGAGCTTGTGGTAAAATGCTGACAGTAGAGTATGACGGGAACCGGTGTCGCCCCCAAGCAGGCTCCAAGCCGAGCATCTCCAAAGAGCAAGAACAGGTACTTGAACGTCTCACTCAGCAGGAAAGTGTGCATCTCGTCACGACGGTCCAGCTCCTTCTGGAATTCTGAATGACACGGTCTGGGATCAGGCGTGTTCAGCTCACGAGAATAAACATGGTATGGCGTGTCTTTATCGAAGCAGAGGCACAGATTGAACTGTCACATCCTGGATGCTGCTGTAACCTGCACAACTGTGGCATGAATGACTAACACGAGCAGCGCTTCTCTGCGGGAGGCTTTGTCTCAGTTTTGAACGTCCTGGAGATGCTAAGTTGGGCATGAGAACTTTCTCATCGTCAAAATCAAGTCGAGGATTTGAGGAATCCTCGCTCGAGGATTTGAGGAATCCTCGCTAATTCAAACTCCGGAACCACCTCAACGGTCGGCGGTCTTGCTTCTTGGTCCCTGCTCTTTGCCAGACGAGGCACCACCGGAATCCAAACGAGCGAAGGCTTCAATTGCCTGGAAAATGGACCAGCCCCAATCCTGCGAAGCAGGGCTCTGGGTGCTTCCGGGACCAAACATGCTCCTGCTTGCCTCAATCGTCGCCTGGGCAAGCACCCAAGCTTCTACCACGGGCTGCCGGTGTGGCTTGCTCTCCAAGTCAAACAAAATTTGTGTAGATGTGAAGTGTGGAATCCCTTCCCAGTTTAAACAGAACCCTGGTGGCTCCAGTGTTGTACTTTGGATTGGGGGGTTCAGGACAAGAATTGGAGAAACCACAAGAGCAGGAGCAGGAGCAACAGCAACAGCAGGAGCAAGAGCAGGAGCATTGGCAAAGGCGGAGTTTCGAGCAAGAGCAGAAGCGAAGAGCAAGTGCTTGAGCAGGTTCAAGAGAGGAGCAGGAGCACAAGCTAGAGCAGGAGCGAGAGCCAGAGCAGGAGCAAGAGCAAGATCAGTACAGTAGAGATTGGAAAGACCGAATAGTAAAAGCATTCTATTGAAAAGACCGAGTAGGCAAAAACACGTTTCGAGTTTCTTTTTGGGGGCACCGTTGGATATTATGGAGAATGCTTTTTCTGCCTCCTACCTGCTTTACTAAGCCTACGGCCTACGAAGGACAAGCCCGCATTGCAGGGTAACTCCGAGAGAACAGTTGATAAATTCGATCTGAGCATGACGCTTTCGATCAGAAGGAAGACCTAGGACCGAGGAGCAACGTTACTCCGAAGGCCGTGACCTTTCCAGAGGGGACGGATTCTTTCCCTCTAGACTCTATAGGCCTTGAGTGAAGCTCATACCGAAACATACTTCGCCCTGAAATGCGGTGGACATGATGGACGCTCCCTACAAGGGACCACTTCGTCATGTCGTGGCTGCTGTTGCTGAAATCTGGCGGCGCAGCGACGGCATGCTATCGCCGCCGAAAGAACATGGAAGCGACTGTATGCTGCATTATGCTGCCAAGCGTCTTGATATTTGGGGTCCCCGGTTGCAAGATACAGGTACCTGCGGCCAGCGGGCATTTCAAGAGAAGCGTTTCATGATGACATGGCCGTGTTGCACACGGCTGGTGGTCACCACAGGGACTCGACGACCTCTGGTCTCAAGCTGCAGTGGGCATCTTTCGGTGTGGCCTCCGGTCCGGTCTCGGAGCTCAAACGAGAGCGACGCTGTGTCCGACGGCTCGGCTCCGGGCCCGAAAGTCTCGGGAGCGCTGAGGCGCTCGATTCCAAAGGACGCTCTCGGGAGCCAAGCCTCCGCTGCCGATGCACATGGCGTCACCGAGTCACTTCTGTCACTTCTGTCTCTTCTGTCTCTTGTCTCTTCTCTCTTCTGGCCTCGAGGCGAGTCTAACCACATCCTGGTGCAGCTCTCGGTCAACTCTTGCGCCAAGAGCAACTCCTTCAATCGAGAAGTCCGAGAACTGCTGGCCGCTAGCCCACTTCAGTCAGCACAACAGCGCTGGTTGTCCTCTGTTGGCTCTGCCGCTGCTCCGGTAAGGACTCCCAGTGCCAGCACCCCGGGGAAGAAACAGGAGAGGTGGTCCTTCATAGCCGGCTAGAGACTCCGCGGAGCACATCACATGCTCGAACCCCTGAGAAGTGAACACGCTCAACCGTTTTGTGATGTTCAACCAGGTGCCGATGCTGAACACGCAAGTACCCGGCCCAAAGCAGAGAAGTGTTCTGCCGAAGCGAAGAACCTATTGGTCCCATGCAGGGCCACATACGCGTCGCAAAGCTGCTGCAAGCGTCGTCCGAAGAGTCTTCAGCCACTGCTCCATGAAGAGCGCGGTCAAGGCAGAAAAAGAGAGAGAGAGAGACGAAGCATGAAGCTGGAGGCGCCGAAGAGGCTTTCAAGGGTGAAACATGTGACAACTCTCACATAAAGGAGCCGCACAAACGAAGGGAAGCGGCAATCAAGTGATCCTGGATACAGAACTGGTATACGGACATGAGCCTCAGGTCTTCAGGAGTCGTCTCGCGGGATCAGAGCCAGGCTGAAATCTGAGGCGGTGTCTGATGATCTCGCATGCCAGATTTCCGAACGTGAAACGAGACAACGCCGCCATAGTCTTACCCAAGACAGCTGCGCTCTGCAGGAAAGCTGGGTTGAAATGCGAGAAATCAGCGAGAACGCTAAGCTGAGCAGGGGGCTCTTTAGGATGACATACCGCTTCGTATTTCGATACACAGAGCTGCCTCCCCCCCTTCTTTGCTTAGTTGCTCTTGACGGACTCTTGCGACAGCTGACCCTCCTTGTCTCACGGAAGGGTATATGCTCCTTGGGGGGCAGACCGGTTTGGCCTGAACAGAATGATCGACCATGGGTCCACATCCGCAACAGTGCCTGCAGCTCTTGCTTGGTTGCACTTGGCAGCCTGTTGGGGTTCATGAACTCAACCTCCTCTTTTTTTGCATTGGCTGGCTGGAAACCACATCCCCGCGGCTGTGCATCGGAACGAGTGCACATGGATCATTTTTACATTAAGCCTGCCTTTTGAATGGCTGCCTGTCACAAATTCTTTTCGAAGATGAGCCTGGTGTGCTGGAGCCGCGCCGCCGTCCCCATCCCTGCCCGAGCGCGGTTCCGGTTGTCGTGCTGGTGCGGGCCGGACCATCCTCCCTTCTTTGGCGGCTGGTCACTGCGCGCCTCCTACTCACCACAGGAAGCCCCAAAAGTCAAAAGCAAGGAGTTGGGACTTTCCGAAGACTTGAGGCAGCCCGGCAGTCCATCTTGAACTCCTGTCCGCTGTGGCAAAGGTCTCGGAGCTGACCACTGAGCATTGCATCAATCCTGATGCCACTCATCAAGTCAACTACAGAAGCACATTCCGAGCTGATGCACTATTGATGCAGATTCAGCTTCTTGAATCAAGTTTTGTCTTCGGCCTGTATTGGCTGCTTGCCGAGAGCTGCTCGTGTGGGGGCGGCAATATGATTGCCATCATCTGGGCAGCATGCCAAAGAGTCTACGCATCCTCAGCAGACTCGGCTGTGAATCTCTGCTTGGGCTCCAGCTTTGCTGGCGACGTCCCAACGATGCGACTGCAGGAGCTCCATCCTGTGCAACTCGATAGAACCAACAGTTCAAAATTGACAGGGTTGCGGTTCTAGATTCTAGATCGTGCCAAGCATCAAAACACATGCAGTGTCCGGTGACATAGACGGGATGATGATGTACGCCCATGAAGGCTGCGATCGATTCTGCAAAGGTTGTTCCTGCAACTCCGGTGTCAGTCCACCCCCACCCTCCTTGCACCGCTTTGCGGCAAAGCTCGACTGTGGCCAGCCGAGCGTCAGATCCGTTTTGCAGCTGATGCGTCACTCCTGCAGTAGTCTAAAACGAGCGAAGCACGGTTTGACATGCCAGCGCGAGAAACACCAGTGCATCGCTACCTCATAAACATCGTTGTCAGGTTCTCCTTCCATGTCAGCCGACGATGCAGGCGAACTTGCAGAGGCCTGGTATCAGTGCCGCTACATGTCGGGCGGATATGACACCAATACCGCATAAAACCGTGACTGTAACGACTGCGCCTTCTCTCCGTTCAATTCCTGTCGCCCTGACTCCGAGCTGTTCGATGCCGTCTGCGAGGCGTCATGGAACTGGAAGAAGAAGGCCTTCGGACAGTTCGGCCAGTATCCAGGCGAAGGGCATAAGCTTGCTAAGACCCACACCAGACCAGGCAACTCTTCCGCGGTCAGGTTCTCCGGATCCCACTGCCATCGATCCTCGGAGGACGTCTACTACTGGGAATGTCGTGTCGTAGCACCAGCTGCGCCGTCCAAGCCGCCGATGGAGGAACAAGTTGTGAGATTGACTCCCAAGCAATGACTTCACCTGTAGCACGTGATGTTCCTTCATGCCTCACTTTTGCGCCAATACCTTCTACTTCAAGTTTTCGCAGATGGGCAGCTTGCAAAGCACAGTAGTAGGTCGGTAACAGTAACAACACACCACACCACTACGATGTGTTCAGCTTCGTTGCGAACGAAGGTGAAGTTGGAAGGGCGGGACTGGCCGACGAAAGCACGGCGAATGCCATCGACGCACAGCTGATACCTAAGCAGTCGCATGCGGCGGTAGAGTGCCGAGATGCTTTAGCACTTCGGCCTTCAGCGGCAATGTGCAGGAATCGACAGGGGCAAGGAGCCAGGATTTGTACTTCTCCACTGTGCGATTCGTGATGAGCCACTGCTTAAGCAAGTACTCATAGAACGAGTCACCGCGACCACCGAGGGTGACCTCGGCTTGCCAACATTGAGCAATGCAAGAAGTCACTGTTGCGAATCAGACCGCGACCGAAGCGATTGTGGCTGCCCCTGATTGAAGTCAAGCCGCTCTTGCATTCGTCCAGTGCATGGGTGGCTGTGGGTCTATCCTGAGGCAGCTCTGCTTGTTGAACATGTTGCGGCGAGCGCAGCGGTCTGAGACGGAGCATCTGAGATCTATGAAGTGGCAAGGATCATGATGGGTAGAAGCCCACCGTGGTCCTGATCCAAGAAAATCAAGAAAAGATCAAGGGCAACACTCCCATTTGTCACTGTAGGTTAAGACATTCAAGGTGAGTCTCAACCAGCAGGGTTCCCAGCAAATCCATTACATGGTTGCCTCTGGTGTGGAAAGTCGGGTCACCTGTGACAGAGGCTGCCACGGAGCAGCTGCATGCTCGAAGGCATGAGCAAAGCGACCGGCCAAATTCGATGCTGCAAGTTCTGCTTCAAAACATGTCTGTCACGGGAGCCCCGCCTGTCCAAGCACTAAGCAATGTGAACTCACCTGAGTCCGGCGCATGCAGCAAAATGTAATGCCGTATGCATGCCGCTATGGCACCCTGGATCGTGCCCACTTCTGCCAAGGTGGATCCGAATTCCGGCTCTTTGAAGCCGGTCTGGCCAGTCTTCAGGTTCACCTGTTGTCAGAGCTACACGCCTGAGACCGTCCCCGCTCGACTTTTTCTGCCAGGGAGCCAGCTCATGGGGCACTGGGCCCTCGCGCCAGGCACGCATAAGACGCCGCCCCAGCCTTACATGCAGGCCAACCTTGCAGATATAGCCTGCCCTAGTAGCGCCCCTTCAAATTGCAAGCTTGGTGGCTGTGCCGCATGAGCAAGAAGCTGCAGTTGCCCGCTTAGCCCTGTCCACGTGTCATGGGTTGTCCTACCTGTGGTGGTTGGCATGCCTTTTCACGACTCGTCCGGTCTTCACAGGCTCGCCGTGCCCGGCCGTAAGCGGAGAGAAGCCCGCCCAGCACACGGATGACCGTCTCGAACACGCTAACCTGCAGACGCAACAAAAACGATACAGTCTGCTTCGCTTGCCATCGTATCGGCATAGCGACGCCAAAACGATGGAACAGCATCAGATGTAGCGATGATGACAAAGTCTTCAAGATCGGCACAAGCAGGCAGGGCCAGACCATCATCATTGTTTCAGCAGGCATGCGTCGTAGTCAAGCAGCTGTCACATCAAGGTCAGAGGTGAAATTCCGAAGGACCCACCTGGCATCAGCAGAGGTCCACCAAAGAAGAGTCAATGCTGGCAGGGGCCTCTCGGCTTCGTAGTAGTCCTTCAATCCCCAAGCACACAAACCATCCTGCGTAGATCGTGGTACGAGTAGTGCGGCCAGGACGTCCTCCTGAAGCCCCAGAAGCCAAAGTGAGTCCAACGCATCGATGATCTGCACGCCCAGACCTGCAAGTGGCGCCTAGTGCTTGAGGAAACTATGAAAGCCAAACCAGCTCGCGGTGCCTCCGAAGTCCTTGCTGCAGGTCTGTGTGACCGGTCGAAGCTCGTCCTGGCCCCAGCAGTGGACCTGACGCTTTGGACGACGTTGACTCTGACCCTTGGGATCCCTGTCTCTGCAAGTCTGCACCTTGTAGGCATTCCAAGCATGAAGGAAAGCCGCCGCCACCGACTCCTGCCTCTCCTCGAGCAGAACAGCAGAACAACTCTGCATCCCTGCGGCAATCTCGTCTCTTGCGAGATGTCTCAGCTCCAGGCATTTTGTGGACCGACAACATCGAATTCCACTTTCGCGAATCCGCTTGTCGGTGTCGCATGCAGTAGCAAGGCCACATGGCAGAGAGCAACCGTTCTATGGGGCATGGATCCAAGTGGCTGCAAACTTGCGGCATCTTGCGACGAGATTCCCCAATGCCGGCAAGCACTCCACTGAAAAATGCACTTGTGGCACGTCCTGGGGCCGTTTGCTTTCTTCTCCTTGGCCGCATCCTCTGCCTGGAACGGCACGCACGGGTTCGCGACGGAGTCGCGAGCATTATGGAAGACCACCGCACTCTCGGCTCCCTGCCAGGAGCTCCTCACCTCGCAAATGATTGGTAAAATCAGCAAGATCTCAGTCCCTGCGTTGCCAAGTTTTTGTGCCTTTCATGGACTGCGAAACAGCGAAACCTGACGCCCCTTGAAGTGCAAGCAATCGGACGTGGGCAAACAAGTCGCAGTTTGTTTTGCTACGAAGCTTGGGTTTGCAGATCCCGAGCAGGCTCCCGTGCCATTTGTGCCAAGCTACGCAGCAACAGCAGCTGGCGGCGGCGACCGAAAGGTTCAAGGCCCATTGCCTAGGAAGCAACGACGAAAGTAGAGCGAGGCTGAGCGAAGCAGCGGAGCTTCCTTCCGATCCTTCCGAGGCAAAGACGGCAAGTTCGGCCTCCACAGCAGGACGCCCCAACGGCTCGCAAGTTTGAACGGTCACTTCGGCGTCTGAACATGAGAACCTGTGTAACCTTTGAGAGGAGTTCCGGGCTCGGGCCAGGATCCTGAGCTCGAGACCTCATCCAGAGTTCGCAGCACGGCACCCGACACCTGCCCCAAGGTTAGTGGCCTTACGGATTGCGGATCGATTACAACTTGTCTTGAAGGGTTTATGGACATGTATGGACAAGCTCCGGAGCATGATCTGCATAGATATGCATATGGTGGCAACTGCCGGTGCCGGTTGCTGGCGAGGTTGTAAGGATACACCGGGTCGGGACACCCCAGCGACAATTCCAACAGCAGCAATCTGCCTCGTGCTTCCGGAGCCAAGACGCCACCTGGCACCAGGCTTGGCCGGCTTAGCCGAGACGAACATACTGTACATGCAGGCTCTTGCCCACACAGCTTTCTTCGCCACTCCGTGAAGAGGCATCACTCAAGTTGGCGTGCTTCGGAATGTTCGTTTGAGCTCTCCAGTGAGAGTCGTGCGGGATGCTGCGGTCTCGACCGCTACTACGCATTCACCATCAGTCCCATCATTGTTATGCAACGACATCCTGTCCCTAGCATATGTGACACCCCACATTGGCTTACTGTATGTTCGGCAGACTGTATGTGCGGCAGACGTACAAAACTTGCAAACAAAACAACTGAACATGCAAAGAAGTAAGTAAGCAATGGCTGCGTGTGTGTGTGTGTGTCTCTGTGTGTGTGGCCGTGCTGACATGCTTTCACCAAACACATATGTTTTCCATGGCTGTGGATTTCGGAACGGCCACTGCGACTTCTCACTGCACTTCAAGCTTAAACAACACCACGGCCATATGCGTGTTGGGCTCGACGCTTGCATCTCCTGGCTGCCTGTGCCGGTCTTTCATGCCGCGCCTCTTGCGCGGACTTCGAGCACTCTAGCGACTCTAGCTTGGTCTGGAAGGGTGCAGACAATCCCTCGTCTTGGAATAAGGAATAAGGTATCATCTCACAAACAGCTGCTAAACTGTATGCTTACATACAGGCTTTGTCAACGAAGTCGGCTGCCGACCCCAGCTTACCTGAGCGTGTCCGAACAGAGCTCGTGCGACCATCTGGTCTGCAGGGTCGGAACTGTTCGTCATTCGCTGGAGAAGGCCAGGGTCGTCTATAGGAAAAGCCGTCTCTGTTGCAAAACCGCAAACATTGACATTACGATTACGATCATGTCATGATGCCCGCACCCATCGCGACTCGGTGCATCTGCATCTTGTTCTGACGGACGGATCAGACTTGTCTCGTTGTCCTAAGATTCCCTGGCTACATGTCCAAAGCCGCGATTCGTCCACAGACGCAACATGAATCCCCGGCTTCGGAGATTGCAAGTTTACACTAGTTTACACAAGAAGCTGCCAAGGTACAAGTATTTTGCTAATGGAACCAAACCAACAAAAGCTGACCAAATGCGTACTACTCAAGTGCCATCGGCAGCAAGAACAACACATTTGCAAGAAATCAAAGGAAAGGACTGGGCATTCTAGCTGCCTACCAATCCTCCCCTTTCAGACGGAAGCCCCGTTTACGAAGCATCTCTGGAAGCTGGTTGTAGCCTTAGGCGGAGATGTTGCAGATTGGGCTGTAAGGGAGGCCATGCTGCCATGATGCTGTAGTGAGTGAGGTCGATCCTTTCCTCTCCGGGGTGCTCTCCGGATACAGTTCAGCGCAGCTGACCGGCCCTCTTCGAGGTCAGTCCTTCTCTTGGCCGTTCTCGTCAAGAACGATCAGATCCGGATTATGCCCCTGGACCCATTGTACCTGGAGAGATCTCTTCGAGGTGAAGGAAAAAATGCACAGCTACTCTCTTCGGTGTTGCTGCCGCTGCTGCCGGACTTGAAAAGCGGGGCACATCCAGATTCTGCCATTCGTTCCAGCGCTCTTCATCTCTCAGCCAGCGGCGAACATCAGCAAAATGGTTCAACCTGCGAGATGCGTTAAGATGTTCTACCAAGGTGTTGCCTGATTCTTTGGCCTGGAACTGCCAAGACTAAGGCGGCAGCTTTCATCCCTGGCAGGAAATGATGTTTCCCCGAGTGGCCGGTTTCAGCAGGCCTGACGCTGTGAGCATGAGCAAACCTTACGGTAATCCCAACGAAATCACTCAGCTTTCACCAAACACTCTCTCTCTCTCTCTCTCTCTCTCTCTCTATCTCCCGAGCAAAGGGCCTGTCAAAGCCCCCGGGCATCATGCCAACACTCTCCCTCCCTCCCCCCCTTCCCTCCCTCCCTCCCTCCCTCCCTCCCTCCCTCGCTCTCTCTCTCTCTCTCTCTCTCTCTCTCTCTCTCTCCTGCGCGTAGGGACCCCTCCCTCTCTCTCTCTCTCTCTTGCTTGCTTGCTAAGGGGTGTGGGTGCATGCAGGCACGCACCCCCCCTGGCGCGCAAAGGTTCGTCCTCAAGGCCCCTTCCGCGGTTGAGAGGTTGACACATTCCCGCGAGTGTACCTTTTCCCCCCGACCAGACCTAAACTCAACCAACAAGACCCCGATGGTCCCACTCGCGTCGTCCGTGGCCCCTCCAGCTCAACCTACCAGCATGCGCAGGGGCGATTGCTCTTCTAAGCGGAAAACAGGATCCTTAAAAACCATACACTACAGAAACCTAGCACAATTTGGAAACAAGGTTTGCTGACTACGCTCGAACCCCTGCGACTTGTGCTGACCAGTGCTGCTTGCGGTTTTTGTGGTTGTGGGCTTGCTGGCAGTGCAGGTCCCCTCAGACGTCAAGTCAGGGTAAAAACAACATAGGGGGGAAAACACACCATGGGGTCCCCACATTGCTGAGTGTGGGTGTGCTGATGCTTGGGTAGCGCTTGCCTTTGGGTTAGGAAGCAAGAGGGCAGAGGTAAAGCGGCATAAGGGAACACCACACTTCCGCATACCCGTAAGTGGATGCATGGTGTTGGTTGCCGTTTGTATGTTTTGGAAAACATGGTAAGCCCCCGAATAGTCGCATGCAAAATCACACAGACCAGTGCTAGGTAGCACTTGAGTAGAAACACCAGGGGACTAAGTGAAAGCCCCTGCAGCAGCTGACCAATCCTGAGCCCCTGATTAAAAACACTAAAATGTGTCGGTCTGAGCCCCGACGGAAAAGTAGGAGTAGGAGCTCGGGCGTCTTTCTACGCTTTGAGCCTAGTGAAACACCCAATAATTAAGCACACTCCGAATCCGAGCCCTTTCTGAACAGTGCGCAACCTTTTTCTGTTGAGGTCGCAACATGCTCCACTGCATAGCAGCTTAGCTGGGACAGTTTGCCTACAATTTCTGTATCTTTGCGACGTTGAGAGACAAAACTCTAGGTTTGAACTCTGAGCACGGGGAACTTAGCTCACCCACCACTCCTTTTGATTCCGAGGTGTTGTTAGACGTCCGTGTCCTTTCAAACCGCTTTTTCTTTAGGCGCGTAGAGAGACGCTCCATTATTTTCCCTTCAATCCAAAGGACGTACGTAGACGTTCCCTTCCACACCTTTCACTCCGAAGCGTAGAGAGACGCCGATGGCAGGGTTACCTTTCCTTTCAGTCCACGGGGCGTAGAGAGACGCTCCTTCCAATAATTTCTGTCTGATTCGTAGAGAGACGCTAATGGCAGAATTACACCAAGACTAATGTTTTCTATTACTCTTCTGGTATCAGTGTGGCTCGTGCTGGTCTTGACCTGACCTCATCATGCATCCCCTCCCCGTCTTTGTCGCCAGCTGCTGCTTCTTGCGGCGGTTCCATTGCTAGTCGCCGGTTGTGGCTTGTCACAGTCGGTGCTGGGGTAGTGGAGGCTCGTATTCTTCACAATGTAGCAGTTAGCTCGATCTTGAAGCAGTACTCCGATGTCTCCCAGTTTGGTGGTAGTCGGCGGTCGACGTGGTGGGATAGCGGAGGCCGTCAGCGATGCAATAAGTTGTCCCCGTGCCCTCAGGAGTCTGCAGATAAAGCTTCTTGCAGTTTCCCCACTTGAGCCGGTGGCCACTCTCACGATCTTGTAGGTGTGGACGTATGGCTCAGCTACTTTTTAGGGCTGGGCCTTTTACTTGTGAGAGTGCTGCCCCCTTCCCGCTAAGGGGGTCAGCACCCTCTCAAGACTGCGGCAAAGATGTAGACGTCGTAGGCAACTTGAGCCAAAATGCTCTTACTTGTATGCGGACAAAGGAAGTGCAGGCGCACTCCCTCGCTCGCGAGCGCGCACCGAAGTTCGAGTCTCTCGCTGCTCGCAATGCAATGAGGCACGGTCGGCACTGGAACAAGCCCCTGAAGCCTTTACACTAATTGCATCCCCCGTGCCTCATCAGCTTCCCCCGTTTTGGGGTGGAGCCGTTCAGCACAAAAAGGCGCTCTCATGTCTGCTCTTTTGCAAACTGTACGGAAAGCTGGACATGGCAACACTCACATGCAAACAGGCTGCTGAGCAACACTCTGAGGGCCGGACCCACCCGCGACAAAATGCCGTGCTGTGTTCCCCGCGTGTTTCCTATTGGTTTGGGTTCTGGCACCCTTTTCATGTACAGCAGCTCCCCCTACAACTGCTCATGGCTTCTGGGACTGCTTAGGTTTATTCCGATTTATTCCCCCGGATGCCAGGAGCCCCCTTCCCTATCGTACATCGCGGCATGCATGCGCCTGCATCTGTGGCTGGCTACGGACTCCTCTCCCTCACTGCCGGCTTGGCTGAGTACCGCTTGCTGTCCCCCCGTCTCGCTTCTTCCCCTAGCTCTTGTTATCCTTTGTTGCTCCAGCGCTTCCATGGCTGCCACCAGCTCATGATCTGTGGACCGGATGGCGGCTGGCCCCCCCCCCCCCCCCATGTACTCGGGATGCTCCCGGACCACTGTGCCATGCCCATTGGTGACTGGTTCCACCATGCCTCTGTCCTCCAGCATCTGTATCACGGGTTGCCCCTGCTGGCAGGGGCTTTGCTATGCGCCAGCAGCTTTCTCACACTTTCCGGCATGCCCCATGGTCGGGTGCAGGTCTTCTGCGGCCCCCCGTTCCAGAGCTAAGACGCCGGCAGGGTGCGCACCTCCTCAACGGTCGGGCCGCTGGCGCCCCCGGGGGCTCCGCCCATGCCGCCACCAGGCATGCCACCCTCGGGCATCGTTTCTTCGGCTATGAGCTGCCCCTACGCGAAGTCCCCCTGAGTGGCTGCTCCTCTGGCGTCCAGGGCTTGGTGTAGTCCAACATAGCTGACTTGCACTTGCTTTCTTCACTGGGCCTGGAACAGGATATCCAGCACCCCCTGCGCTCTCCGCACTTCGTACGTGTCGTCGAGTGCCTTCATAACCCACTGTTGGCGGATGCCCTCCATGTCCCGCATCTCCTCCTCGATGTCCAGCAGGCGCAGCTTTGCAGTCCCCAGGCAGTCTAAGAACTTCCGCCGCTTTGGCGCCGACTCTTCCGGCGGCGTGCAGTTGCCCCCCTGCTGCGCTGGTACTTCTCGCGCTGTGTCCAGCGCCAGCATGGCGGCTTCCACTAAGTTGACTGCCTTGGTGGGTCCCCCGTGCGCTCTGAGCAGCCATGCCACTTGTCGCAGCCAGTGGCGCATCATGGCCGCCGCAGGGTGGTGCCGCTGGCGTGCCGGCGGGCTCGCGCTTGATGATGCTGCATGGCTTGCGGCACGGCTGGCTGCTACCTGCTCACTACCCCTACTCTCTGCCTGTTGGTGCTGCATGCGGGATGCTACGTCTGGTTCTTCCCCTTTTGGTGCTGGGGGCTGATTTGGCGGGCTGCGTGGTGGAGCTCCGCCTGGCGCCGGTGCCGGATTGGTGTTGCCTCCGTCCCCCGAGTACTGAGTAGTGCCGCGTCGGTGTGGGGAAAAAACTTTTGGCACGGCGCCAGAGACCCCGAGTCACACGCACGGATCTTTTAGCACCCGGCAGGACTCGGGACGTTTAACACCGGCCCTGACAAGTGGCTTTAGCAGGAGGCCAGCAAAGGAGAGTCGCCGTTTTGAGAAATTTAATACCTTGCCGGCCACCTAGGAGGGCTTAGGGTTTAGGGTGAACGCGTTCCGCGCCCGGACGCAGCCGCAGCGGCTTTTGGCTCTTCGCTTCGCTTCGCTTCTGGCTCTCTCTCTCTCTCTCTCTCTCTCTCTGCTTTGCTCGGGGTTTGGGGCGGGGGCAGGCCGCCCGTCCTGCGCAGTGTGCGATACCCCATCCAACACGTTGTGGGATGGGCTGGGCTTTACAAGTCAACTGGTGCCCCCCTATATAAGGGCTTTCTTCGTGGTCGGGCCCCCTTGGTGTTGTAACAGAAATGCCGTTTAGCAGAAGCAAGGTCCCCGATCCACGGAGTGTGACACTCTGGTACCCCCGACTTGGCTTGGTGGAAAAATCGAGCAAAAAAGAAGATCTTCTTGCAATAAGCTCTCCCACTCGCTTCCCTTGACAAGCTCCTCACTCACTTCCTTGCACACAGTCAAAGGGTAGCTCACTACCCCCCGGCATCGCTGCGCACTGGTCTCTCTCCCTCAATCTCTCGCTCTCTCTCTCTCTCTCTCTTGTTTTCAGCCGGGCTGCTGCTAACGTCCACGATCTTGCAGGATCGCTCCTGACGAATCGGCACATTGCATGCACTATTTCTGGGCCCCTTTCACCCGGCGCCTCACAGTGGCCGCTAGCGTCACAGGATTGCGCGCCGCAACCCTTGGCAGCCGTCGGCTGCCTAAGGTCATGTTTCAATTATGACCCCTCAATTGCTTTGGGCGAGCACCGGTAGCAAGCGGGATATGTCGCCGGATCTAGCGAGATCACAAACTGGCAAGCAGATCACTACCAGCACCTAACTCGGGTCATGTTTGACACGAGCACCGCATGTCGGTTATAGGTGAACGCAAGAACTCTCGCAGCTTTTGCGGGTTTGGCAAGACATTCCCTGGTTGCCATCTTGCCCGCACCCAAACTTTTAGCTACCGGGTACGAATGGACTTTTCTGCTTTTCTTGACCCTTGGCCGTCGTCTTGCCTTTTTTGGGAGCGAGCCGGTGAGGCAAATGAAGCCGGGGCAGAAAGACGCAACAAGCACAAATGGGATAGCAGCAGGAAAGTAAGCCAGAAAAATCGAAAACAAACGGGAAGAAGAGAACGACAAAACGAAGTAAAGAAACAATCGCAGACAGTAGGAAAGAAATCAATGCACCAAGAAAGGACGACACGTGGACGGGTTTCAAGTATGAGAGTACGAATGCGGGGCAAGAAACAAGAAACAACGAGCCGCATGAGAGTAGCAGCTCATGGCAATCAAAGAACAACCCAGGATGCCTGCATGGATTTTGTAGCGAAGCCAATACCACGAATACTGTCACAATACTAGCGAGCTGTCAGCAATACTAGCGAGGATATCCAGAGAACCCACCTCTCCTCACCCTAACACCGATATGCTTGTGGTGAGGGCAAGCCAAGCCATGTCTGTTGTTTCGTCATCTTTCCAAATCTATCACTGGCGGATGTTGATGGGCGCAAGGGGGCGCCAATCCAGACCAAGCCAGTCAGAGCATCATCGAGACCGGCATTACTCCTTGTTCCAGGACTGCGGAGATGCGGTCGTCTCCCCTTCCCATCCGGATACCCTCGCAAACCACAGGAACACTGAATCGCAGTCGTGTCTGGGCCCCGGCAGTATCAAAAGTACACAGGCTTACAACCAAGAAATTCATTAACGACTCTCTACATGCTAGAGCCCGCTCCTTCCTCGTTTCTAAGGGTCCTACCCGAAGACAGCCAGGAGAGAAAGCAGTGACCACAACACCACCTAAGTCGAACGCGCGCACGATGCAGAATCACTGCCTGCAAGACTCGAGAGGACCAAGAGCTGGGCACCAGCAGCTGCCATGTGGCCTTGAACTGCCACGACTCCCTTGTTTCGTGTGAGTTTTTGGGCATCAGGCGTCAGCATGTAAGGCTCTGGCCAGGCCGAGCTATCAGCCCATGCCACTGCTAGTCGGAAACAGCTGCAGAAACGGCCGGCAGCATGCAGTCGTACCCCCAAACCAGTCAGTACACTGCCAGAGACATCCTGGGCGTGATTACAGGGTACCTCAACCATCGGAAACCTGAGCCCTTGCTGGTAGAACCCCCTACCGCACCTCTGGAGACAAAGTTGTCGTCAAAGACCAGTGCACCACGTCCTCCACGGTCCACTCGCCGAGCCTGTTTCAGCCCCGCAAGCCTTGTGAGCTGTGTCAACAGTAAGCTTGTGCAAGGCAGCCATCCGAAATCAGAGTTGGCTTCTGACAAGAATGAGCAAAGCGAAATGTGGGCAGGCCGCCTTGGCTTGCAGGGATGCATCGTGGGCCTGAGTCCGAAGAATACTCGAAAGGGGACTGTGTGAAGCCAGGACCTTCGAATGCCGCGAGACCCTCGCTAGCTCCTCATCAATCTATGGCAACATATTTCGACTTGGTGCACGGGGTGCATTCAGAATAAATCTGAGTCGAGCTGGATGCACCCCAGGATTGCACAGCTTAAAGATGAAAGCATCTTAGCCGGGGCTTGCCAGGCCGCTAGATCCTTAGGTCTCCTCTCTGACACTCGCTGTGACAAACCGGGCTGCTTGACTCTCGTAGGTGTGAGACCAGCTCCCCTTCGAGGAGCCGTGACAGATGGGAACTGCCATGAGGAACGTTGTTATCCCCACAGAGGACTTTCAATGAACTGCCTGAACACCACATCTTCACTTGTTCTGAGTGCTGAGGGCTGGGTAACAGTCACAGTGAGACATTTGCAAATGGCAAGAAGTGGGACCAGACATGCTTGTGGCTGCTGGCTTATCCATTAGATGCCTGGACCACCAAGGAGTCGCAGCATGTAATGGTTTTACGAAATGTGAGTTTGCACCCGCCTGTGGCGGAACCGCAAACAATGAATCGACGGTGAAAGCAAGATCTTTGAACTACGGCTGCTGGCGAGGCCCACCCACCGAGGTCCACACTGATGCTCCATGGCAGACTGCATGCTGCGACGAGCATGGCAATAGTTCTTTCAGTGTTTTCGCTTCTTGGACCCGGCACGAGATCTCGGTGCAGTGAAGATGTTGCGGAGGGCTTCGCCCGCTTCGACAATCTTCGATCCTGACAGTTGGAGGCTGAGGCCGTGCTGAAATCTTTTGGCAGAGCGTAACAAACCATGGCGCATGGCGGTCGCCTTCGTTTGCTACAGATTGCGATACCCTTGCCAATCCAAAGGCGGCTCGTAGTCGTACCTGCAAAGGGCTCTCACAACAAGCTTTCACTTAGAACTCCTTGAAGCGCCGAGCGACTTCTCCATGAAGCCCAGAAGGGCTTTGACCTTCGAAAGAAACTAAAAGTCTGCCGTTGTCTACACGATAAGTCTTTAAGTTCTGGCTCGCAGTGCACACCGGGTTGTGCACTGGGCCGTCTTGTGGTGGTGGCTGTGGCTGCGTGTCGCTGTTTTTGCAGCTCTCCTGACCGCAAGACACGTCAGCCCAAGCCCGCTGAAGTCGCTGTTCGCAAGACTGTCAACAAAGCTCGACCCAGGCCTCTGAGTAGTGGCAGGTCAGGAAGAGATCCCGAGCTACCAGCCACTCACCGGCTTCGTAGTTGCGAAACCCCACGGCAAATCTCTCGAAAAACTCCTGTCACTCTGCCGGTCACGCAGCTCAAGCTCGCTCAAAAAACAAAAACAAGACATGACAGGCTCCTTGGAGTAGGGCTCACGCATCACCACGAAGTCTGAGTGGTTTGCCAAGGTCTCGCACAAGTTAAAGTCTGCAGTCCACAGCCTCGACACGAGAGGATTGGAGGCTTTTGACTTGAACCGCTCCGACAGGACGACTTGCAGCCAGGCCACTCGTTTTTTACTGCTTCCCTCATCTGTCTGACCTTGTACCGGTTGTAGACCTCGGAGCCACCGCAAAGCCCCAGACTCCGACGGTCGCTGCCGCCAGGCACACTCTCCTTCACTCTCTGCCTGCCTCTCTCGCTCGCTAGCTCTCTTTCTCTCCTTCTTTCTGGTGTCGCCACGTCGGGCTGTCGGTGCGACACTGCTTAGGGTCTTTCACGTCTACTTCTTCAGCACAAACAAAGACAGCAGGCGTTCTCTTGCTTGCCTGCTTTCTCTCTCTCTCTCTTCCTTCTTTTCTCTTCCCAGGGTTCCACGCCTTCTTGCGGCCTCGTAGTCGTGGCTTCACGTGGATCTTCGCGTGGTCCAAGTCCAAAGTGAATAGCCGCAAGCCTCCGACAGCATGTGGAGGCCCGTCCGGGCATGAACCCAAGCCGAAGCTAGGTGGACCAAGGCCATTAAACAAAGCTCCGTGTCGGGTCTAAGCCGCAAACATTTCTTGGAGCCTCCGCACAAGGACACGGAGCGAGAGACGAAGCGCGCTTGGCTTACGTCTCGCAAGGCCTTCCAGCATGACGTGGTCGACCATGCGAAGGTACTCCATCAGCTCTTTGCTGCCTCGAATGGCGTGACTTCGAGGATTGCTGTCGGCACGGAGCAACTGCTAGCAGACCTTCCAGCATGCCAAAGTCACAGTCGAGGGGCAGAGCTTCACCATAAAGCTCGACATCAAGATCCACAGCTGTAGCTGTGTCGAAGCCGCTTCGAGCTGTGAGGCCACGTTCACATTCGGAGACCTTAGCGATCAAGGCCATGGCGGCCTAGTGGCCCACAGCTCACTTCGCAACTTGTGGCTTAGTCTGGCTTAGTGGCAAGTAGGATGCATCGATCTTGTACTCGCTGCCGATCGCGCCCTGAGGTGAGGTTCTCAGATTGGAGCTCGAGCACGACCGAGGCCGCCGAGGCCCGACTGGTTTTTCACTGCTGAAATCACTGACTATCGGCGTGCAGTATGCTGCACACTAGATGCATGACTGAAGCTTGTCTCCCACATCTCCATCGTTGACCTTCAGGTTTGGAGTTGGACTTGCTCATGAATATGCTAAGGTTCGAGAATTGATATGAGATTTTCTTTTGTTTTTGGTCCTTTGTTTTCCTGTCCCAGAGCATCTGCAACTACGGCCAGGTGGAAATTCTCCGCATCAAACTCACGATATTCACACTTTTCGTAATGCGCGCCTTAATCACCATGGGGTTTTGGCACGGTCCATGGGTGCGTAGGATCTGCAAAAACGCAGTAGACGTGGGGTTGCGTGCGCATTTTCGACCAAAAGGTTTGTTTTGGATCTTCGAAAGCATCGTTTTTGACCAGGGTTTCGTGTGTCCAAGCACGAAAACACTGGTTCCGTTGGGAGATGTTGGGAGATTTCTAACCTTGCGAGTACGAATTGTGCAGCCAAACTCTTTCTTCACAAATTCATTCTTGTCTTTGGTATCCGCTAGCCGACTAAGGTCCGGCGACAGCTGCTTTGGAGTATGGTACACATGTGATGATGTGACAGTACTCTCCTCACCAGGGTTTCGCGCGTCGAAGCACGATGATGATGGCCTGCATATCATTGATGATGTTCATAGGGGTGATGTCGAAGTTGACGTCATTCCCCCCCCGACCCCACCCCCCAAATGCTGGCTACGCAGCTGCTTAGGCCGAGGCTGTAAATTCAAGCAATTGCGATTCTGCAGAGGCCTGAACCGATGTGAAAACGTTGTCAATTACAGCATCTTGGCACATCCAAATGATACTATATTTCCAGCTATTCATGTTCATCGTGTATCTTAAAACCACCCCCTTATTTGGCGATCCGGGTCACTACATATCTTAAACACGACCCCTCATTTAGTGCTGTTTAGCAGAAAGTCAGAAGCTCTTGGAGGCTTAGACACGCTGCCTCATTCAGTGCTGCTTAGCAGAAAACTCGTGGGAGCTTACGATCGAGCCTTCGGTTCATCATATATCTTAGGCATGCCCCCTCATGTGGCGATTCCAGTTCATCATATATCTTAAACATGCCCTCTCATTTGGCGATTCCGGTTCAGCATAAATCTTAAACACGACCCCTCATTTGGCAATCCCGATTCATCACATTGAACACGACCCCTCGTTTGGCGATTCCGGGTCATCATATATCTTCAACACGCAGCCTTATTTGGTGAATCCGGTTCACCATATATCTTCAACACGCCCCCTCATTTGGCGATTCCGGTTCATCAAATATCTTGAACAGGCCCTCTTTTTCTTCGATTCCGGCTCAACATATTTGTTCAACACGCCCCCTCTTATGGCGATTCCGCGTCATCGTATCTGATTTGGCGTTTCCGGTTCAGCCTACATCTTAAAGCCCCTCGTTTGGCGCTTCCGCTTCATTATATATCTTAGATCTTCAAAACGCCCCTAATTTGGCCATTCCGGTTATAATTTGGCCATTCCGGTTATACATCTACATATACATATACATATACATATACATATACATATACATATACATATACATATACATATACATATACATATATATATATATACATATATATATATATATATATACATATACACACACACACACATATATATATATATATATATACATACATGTGGTAAACACGCTAGCTGGGCGATTCCGGTTCATCATATATCTTAAACACGGCCCTCTTTCAGCGATTCCGGTTCACCACATATCTTAAACGTGTCCCCTCATTTGACGATGTCGGTCATCATATATCTTAAAACATGCTCCCTCATTTGGCGATTCCGGTACATCATATATCTTAAAGCACGCCCCCTCATTTGGCGATTCCGGTTCATCATATATCGTAAATTCCTTGCCTCATTTGGTGATTCCGGGTCATCACATATCTCAAACACGCCCGCTCATGTTGTGCTGTTTGGCAGAAAGCTCATGGGGGCTTGCGAGGGTGAGTCCGGTTCATCATAAAGCTGAAAAATGCGCTCTCATTTGGCGATCTTCGGAACAGAACAGAACCAGAAGGGCGGACAGGAGAAAAGCGGGACGGGACGAGACCTGAAGGATGAGGGTGGAAAAAAGAAAAGTGATGCCGACAAGCAGAAAAGCGGAGGAGCATAAGGGCGAAGCACAAAAGCAGAGAAGCAGAAGCGGAAAAGCGGGAAAGCTGGAAAGCAAATAACAGGCGGAAAACGAGAAGCAAACACAGGCAAAGGGAGAAAGGACAGCAAAAAAGCAGATAAGCGGAGGAACAGAAAAGCGAAGCAGGCACTCAGAGAAGTGGAAAAGCAGAGAAGCAGCGAAGCAGAAAAGCAAAAGCACAAACAAGCAGAAAACTGCCCCCATATGCTGAATGGCACGACGCCCGGGTGGCGGTGGATTCCGAACCTCTCACCATGGCGGAGGCTGCCCAAGCATCCGCAGTATCGAGGTGTCAAACGCCGGTTCTCTCCCTTTGCATCGCTGATGGTTCGGCAATGTTCGGCAGTTCGTTCAACTTCGTGCTCGACAGCCAGCTCTGCGGGTCTGGCCGTCTCCCCCTTCTTAGGGCAGCAGGGCTTCGGCGAACATTTACGACAACAAGAGTCTGGAACATCTTTCAGTGGAGTTGGCCCAGCCTCAATAGCCCAGCCGCAGTGTAGGCCAAAGCCCAGCGAGACCTCGAAAACAGCTTCGCGGAGACCCGTCCCGATCCTCGCAACTTCCCAACTTCCCTCTCAGGCGATTGGCTCGGAAGTCTGGGAAGCGCTGTTGGAGCCCAGGGTGAGTTCGATAGGCTGCGAGGATGTTTGACTTCTGCACTTCGATGGTGATGCAAACCTCGAGTACGCACAACCCCGGACTGAGCGTGAACGGCATCACGTTCATGCGCTTATGCATCATGGCTGCGTTTGACTGTGCAGGTTCCTGACACTGCCGCGCCACAAAGGACATCACCGCCATGTCAGCGATCTTGCTTCTAACCTCTGCGTCCTTTCCGCGCAAACGCCAGACCTTGAAAATCAGCCACACCAACATGCCAGCGTGGCCACTTGCAACATGCTGCCAATCCAAAGTCAAGGCTCCACCAGGAAAGAGTTGCCGCCAATGTTTTGGTTGGGCGAGCCATGGTAGGTGTCGCAAATGCCTCTGGCTCTGCACAGCCAGTGTGCATTTGTACAATCAAATCGTGGGGTCCCCACCATGTACGATCTCACTGACCTGGTTGACGAAGACCATCACCTGGTGATCTTGCACACGGCGAAGCCTACTCTCGGCCTGAAGCAGCACCGCCACTGCTCCCACGCACCTTCTCCTTAAGCACGTCAGTGGCATCGGTGAAGTTGCGGATGCTGCAGAAGCCGAACACGGCCTCTACTTCTTGGCCTGCGCCACAGGGGACCCTATTTTTCTTGACCTTTTTTTTTCTTTGCCCTTTTTTTTCCCTTTGGGAGCCTCGGTTAAAAGCGGTCGTTCGTGGCAGCAGCAGCAGCAGTAGCAGCAGCAGGAGGCCGAGGCAAGAGCAGTTGCAGCGACGGCAGGAGGCCGTGGCAGCAGCAGCAGCAGCAGTAGTAACATCAGGAGGCCGAGGCAACCGATTCTAGATGGGAGGGTTGTCGTATAAAAGAGAAGTTCTCCTATCCGAAAAGTAGGAAAAGACAGGTTTTCCTGTGGACATGCAAATGAAACCAAGTGTTTGTGCTTCGTAGAATACAGAGAAGACAGAGGGTTTCCTATGAAAACAGAGGGAACCAGAAGTTTTCCTAGGCAAACAGAGGGAAAAGAGATGTTTTGCGGTGGAAATACAGAGAAACCCAGGGAATAGAGTTGTTTTCCTGAGCAAATACGGAGAACGCAGGAGCCCAGGGCAAAGACAAAAAAAAAAGTGCCGAAAAAAAAAAAGCAAATGAAAATTCTACACCCCACAAGGTGGCACAAGATGCTGCAAGCCCAAGCCGCAGCCGCAGCCAGGGCCCCGCTTGGCCTGGCACCATGGCGTTCAGCTCGGCGGTAGCTCCGCCCTGCATGTTGTGGACGATGATCTCTGCACCCGCCTAGCAGACCAAATCCGGCAACTTTCTCTTCGAAGCGTCCGAAAAGCAACCGCACACATCCTTTCCCCTGTCCATCCCTGTCCTCTCCAAAGCCGAGCGCGAGCAGGCCACCAAGCTTGATCAGGGTCCTGGAAGCTTTCAGGACAGCATGCACAGCCGCGCGAGCTGCTCCCGTCCTCTCCAAGATCGCCGTCTCGAGAGTTTCTAAATCGTTGGTCTCCTTCTTCTTCCGACAGCATCCCTGCCTTAGAACGCAGCAAGCATAACTGCCCGCCCCTGCACGCGCCTGTCGTTCCTCAGCTGGCATTTTCTTCAGAACTCGGCCCACACCAGTGTCCCGCTCCATCTAAGAATGCTTTCTGGAAGGAAAAACCATCGCGAAGTTGCCTGTTGGCTTCCTCCTCCTCTTCGAGCTCTTGCATCCTACACAGCGATCCGACAGAAGGCCAAGGCAACGGGCGCCAGCGCCAAGCCTGAAGTCGATGTCGCCCAGCTTCATCGCATGCAGAGGGTTCTTCCTGATGGCCTGGAGCGGAGGGGCGGAGGGGCTGAACCAAGACTCTTTGAGCAGCTTGAGCGCTTTGCTCTCTTCGGGGCCCCCTCCCCCCCGCTCTCGGTCTCGGGCCTCGAGCTTCACGAGGATCCGCTCGAGCGGTCCCAGCAGCAGCGCGTGGGCGTCCCGCGCGAAGGAGATCGCACCGGCAGCCAAAGCGAGGCAAATGAAGCAGGTCTGCAGCCTGCGCAAAAACAACGCGAGGGAGGCGGCGTGCATTGGCGAATCGGCGAATTCCTTTGAGGACGGGGCATGTTCAAGCCCGCAGCACTCTGCGTTACCGGCCGCGTGTCGAAGGCGAACAGCAAGTCCACCTCAGCCGCTTGGTTGCTCTGAGGTTCCAACGATCCACACCAACAGTCAACTCGATTCATGTCTCCGCTCGATGCTGTGAAGTCTCATTGCCCCTCTCTTCTCCGGTCTTTGCCATGGGGGTGTTGTAGTGCACCTGCTCCACGACTCTGCATTCGGCACTTCGAAGAGTACAAACTTCATTGGTCTTCCTCTGCATTCGGAAAGCAGAGGCGGCCGAGGTCGAAGGCCTCGTTACAACGGAGCGTGTCGGTCACAGAGCACGCCGTCGACCAAGTGAAGGTTTGGCCTTTCGAGGCACATGCACACAGACGCATGCGCAGAGTGCTTGCTCGGCATTGGGGCCGAGAGGCTCTCGGGAGAGACGGGAACGCCATAGAAGCCCAGGCATTGCTCTCGCCAAGGATCTGCGAGGCGCTTCTTCACCTGCACTTTGCAACTCTTCTCAAGCACCCCTCGTCCCTCGTTGTCACTTTTTGAAAAGGAGGGCCTCTTCTGGAATGGGCCCATGTGGGTCCCAGGAGCTGAACTCGTCCCAGCGCCAGAGCTCATCCTGCACTGGAAGGGTGTTCAAAGAAGGAGACTCTCTCTCTCGCTTCTGATGTCCTCAGGAAGTGCCCTTCCCAGAAAACGATCTTGGTTCAGCCGTCCGAGAGAACCAAGGAAGTCCTCGCGTCATGGGCCACTCGCTGCCCACTCAAGCCTTTGAACCATCCTTGCGCAAACACGATGCCGCCAAGATTCTGCCGTCGTTTCACTCCCATTGTGTGCCAGCATTGTTTCAGACTTGACACCCAACCAGTACAAACCTGCAGCCGCAGCACAGTGCAGTGGCAAGCAATGTCATGATTGCGGACAGCGTCTGAGAGGACGACGCCACGCAAATGAGCCGCCTCGCGCGGCCACACACTCCCACAACTTCACAGAGACACGAAATCAGTGACTAGCTTTATGTCACCCGCATCCTATCTCCTCCTAGGATTTGGGGATATCAACAAAACGTAGAACAAACGCAAAAATGAGCGCACAAAAAAGGTAACAGCGAACGCACAAACAAACGCAGAAAAATGCTAGCACAAAACGTAACGCCACGCGAAAAACGCACACAAACGTAAAGAAAACGTGGCGTCACGCAAAGAAATCGAAAAACATCCGCACACAAAACCTAGAAGAACCCCCCCCCCAATTCACCTTTTTGCTGGAAAAACGTACCTTATATGACAAAAGCTGAAAAAAGGAAGGAACACCCGAAAAAACCTGAAAAAAAAAAAAAAAACGTGCAAAAAAGCTGCAGAAAAAGGTGACAAAAAACGTGCCCGAAACGCACCTTCCGGAGCCACGCCACGCCGGAAACTCTCCTGTGAAAAACGTGCCCAAAACGCGCCCAGCCGCCACCCCACCCCACCCTACCCCAGCCAAGCGGGCTCCTTGGCCCGCCCCACGACCTACTTTACTGAATGTTTTGCTGTGTAGGTTTTGTTTAACATGAATTCAATTTTTGCGTTTGGCTTCAAGTTTTTTGATGCTGCGTAGCTTTTCTTTGTATTTTCTTACAGATTATTTTGTTTTGTCTTTGTTTTTTCATTTTTTTGCTGTTGGTTTCAAGTTTTTTATGTTGCATACGTTTTTTTTGTCTTTTTATCACGTGTCTTATCTTCAAGTTGTTGTTGCGTTTGTTGCTGGCTTTTTTACGTTTACTTTTGAGTTTGTTTTTTAAGGTTGATGACTTTTCGTTCACGTTTCTTCTACGTTTTATAGATGTTAGAGACGTAATAGGAATAGATAGAAAGGCCGACACAAGACTAGCTACTGCCGTCCAGCTGCTCAAGTGGCTCCGAACGAAGCTCACCAGGTACTGCTCGTACCAGCTGCGCCTTGTCATCAACAGCACCCAGGAATCAGGAGTAGCAGCATAGCAAGCTTCTATATTAGGTCCTTACTAACTACCCACCGCAAGGTGGACGGTGGACTTTGCTGAGCGCAGTTGAGATGCTCTTCCTCCCGGTTCACAGGAGTCTCATCTGGAAAAGCTTGCAGGCACCATGGGATTCCCTCAGAGCCAAGCGGAGGCTCTCTGTCCTACTTAGTTTGCTTACACAAGATTGGCTGCAGGATTCTAGGTACCGTTTCGATGCCCAGGAGCAGGGATGGATGTAGGGCACCAGGATCGAAATCGCCTGAGCCACGCATTGCATCAGCCCATGGGGCCATCTTCTGCTAGACAACAGGGAGCAGACAGTTGGGAAGTGATGCTGTGGGGTGCTGATGCAGGCAATCAGCTCGTACACAAGGTCCGCTCCCATAGCCCCAGAGCTCTTGAACTCTTGTCCCCAGCTCTCGGCGTTGAAGAAGTCTGAACCTGATGCCACATCTGTGTGCAGGCGGCCCGTGTGTCGAGAATGTACCTGCGAGTGGCCACTTCTAAACTAGATCCGGGGCACAGAACAGCATAATGAGAGTCAGCACGATGACCCTTCGCGAGGTCATGTTGGAGAGCTTCTTCCCAACTCCTCGGTGCAGGCTCAGCTCATACCCAGCGATTTCAAGTCATTATGTGCCATTGAGCGTCTGGTTTCTGCGTGGCCATCCATCTCTGAGTCCTCCTTGTTGTCGTGATAGCCCGACTCCGTCAGGTCCCACATCTCCTGCCACAAAACAGAGAGCGGGCCACCGGTACTGCTTGCAGCGTCTACACGGCCGCAGTTGGAGGAGACCGCAGCCTCGTTGGGGTTGCCGGGAGGAACTGCGTAGAGGCGCTCGGTGGATTTGGCAATCTCCATACCCCGCTGGTAAAACTTGTACAGCCTAAGCCAAAGATTAGAACCGAGTAGAGTGCCTGTCTACATCTTCGGTTGGTGGTGCAGTCAAGAAACTTCCCAAGCCGTATGAGCCTCAGCTGCGAAATGAAGCTGCAAAGTTCAACCGAATCGTCAGTGCCAGGCGAGCTGCCGCAGAATCCGAACTGTCCGCGCGGCACGAGTGTCGGCCAGGTTTGCGACTGCACCTTCCAAGCTGCCTGTTGTCGCACCGCCTTATCGCACGACGATGCCAGATCTGAGCCCCAAAACACACCCTCACTTCGCTGCTCAACCAAGAGGCTAAACGAGCTGTAGTCTTTGCAGTAGAGCAAGTTTCCAAACCAAGTGAGGTCTACAAGCATGGTCACAGTTGCCAGCGTATCCTCGAAAAGACGATGCTCACACAAGGAAGCACATCAGCATGCGCGCCAGCTTGCTGCCTCTCTAGAATGCATCCGGGCATCAAGGTAAAAGAAGAAGCTAAACAGGTAGGACCGGTCGCCCAAGGAAGCTGCTATTATCTCCACTGTGAAAACAATAAAGGCCACAACAATCAAGACGTTGAAGAAGTTGTCGGCTTCTTTGCCTACACGCTCAAGAAGCGAACTGCCCATTGCAATTGCTATTTCATGCAACATTCGGGCCTGTCGCCAGAAGCCGCAGGTCATCCCCGAGAAGGGCACCAAAGGTCAGTACGGTGGTCAACGTCAGGAAGCGCCAGTCTTCACAGAGAGCCCGGCACCACATCCTGGGTTACAGTCAGTGCAAGACAACTGCCACTGCCACTACCATCTCTCGCGATCTAACGCTAAAAAAAGCAGAAGAGGCTCCGAATCTCATCCTCCCAGCCGTTGACTAAGGCGCTCTCGGACGACAAAACCTTCTCCAGCACCCCCTGCTGGCTCCGTCCTCGTGGCACCGGCCCCACCGATCCTGCAGAAGGAAGGCAGCGAGCGAAGCGAACCCTCTGATTGTTTACGTCCCTTCCTACTCCCACCTTCCGAAGGAAGCGTCAGCGTCGCCACCTCCTGTCCGCTTCTGTTTCTGCCCACTTCACAACGAAGCACCCCGAGATGCGACGCGCCATGCCTTGTCCGGCTTTGCAGGCGGCTTGCTCCTGCACTAAGACAGCCTATGAGGTCAACGATGGCCACAGCTGAGGGATGCAGGCACAAGCATCCTGGCAGGTCCCCAAACACTGCGCGGCTGCAACTTCGGGTGGTCAGAGACCTGACTTTGCATCTCGGTCTCTCCGATCATGGGGAAGCGCCAATGCAGGATGGCGATGGCAGAGGCAGTGGCTCCGGTATCCGCGGTTTCAGAACGTGCCAGGGTGTCACCTTGAGGCACCGAGGTGGCACCGGCGAAGGCTCGAACTTGGGCGTGGGCTATCGTTTATTCCAGGTAGAGTAGAGTGTAGAAGGACCACCACGATTCCGTGCGTGTAAGCCAAGGAAAGACACGGAAAGACTGCAGCCATGCATGTTCCCGCCTCCGCGCGCAGTGGAAGCCGCAGCCTAGCCGCAAGAAACGGAGCAGCGGGGCCGGCTTCGCCACCGCCCAGCAGAAACTGGCGGCTAGCGTAAGCATGCGTAAAGGGGGAAGCGCTCTTTTCCTTCGAAGACCCGGAACTGGGCTGGCAGATGCAATGCTTTGGCACCGTGAAAAGAGGGTCTCCGAAGACGGCCACCGTGCAGCTGATTTCCCCGTCTACATCTTTGACGGCGTGCTTCCTTTTCACGAGATCCTTGAGTTCAGCCTTGGGCTCAGTCTGGTCGTTCACGAAGCGCCGGCCAAAGAAGACCTCCATTCTCTCCATCTCTATCTCCATGTCTCTCCCTTCTTCATTCATGTTTCACGTCTCTCTCGCGGAGCCATGCCGTCTAGATGTGAGAGCCGCGCTTTGCCCTTACACTGGCAGACGCCGCCGTCACTTGCGCAGATGGCGCCCGGCCCATCTTCCAGGGGATCCCTGGGGATCTCCTGGCAGCCAAGGATGAATCAGGCTGCCTGACACCAGCTCACCGTAAACCCGAGGCTCTCACAGTGAAGCTGCCCACGCTCTTGCCTTGCACCAACACAGCACCCAAACAACTCCATCTCTAGCACACATTTGGCCAGGGCGCGGAACAAAGCTCCCACGAACGTGGATTCATCAAACAGCGCGGCACCATCATATCTTGCAGCGAAGCCCAGGGATGCAAACAAATGGTACATGATCCGATCCATAGGGTTCTTCACCTTGGGCAAAAAGATTATCCATTGCAATCGCTGCATCGCTCCCAGTGGAAATGGCTCAAAGGCTCTTGCGCCGCCACGTTGGAAAGCCTGGACCTCAGCAAGTCCCACTTACACTATGAGGGCAGGGTTGGGACCTCTGGGACCTGGGAGGCACATCCTGAAGCCGAGGCACTGCACTCTGGAGAGATGGGCTTTTCTCTATAATCATCTGGAAGTTCCCGGGCACGAAGCTCTCGTCACCTGCGCACCAGGAGACAGCGGTGGCCTGGCTTCCCCTTTCGACTCACACACTCGCACAAGGCAGGCATGGCTTCAGATACTAAGTCCGCTGGGCTTCCCCTTTAGTCAGATCGGTCATGCACGTCCCTGCACGACCTGGAAAAGAAACTAGCATCAGGGTATCGGCCCGGCAAGACTGGTAGCAACAGCACCAGCAAGAGCACTCAAAAAGCACCCCAGCGCCGCCACACGAAAGGCCAACCTTCGAAGCAGTGAATCTTCAGCATGGTCCCCTTGGATTGCAGATCCTTTAGCCTCGGATTTCGCACAGGGATTCCGGGATTCAAACCCAGCAACGCTGGACAATCACGCTCCGAGTTGCACAGGGTGGGCTATATTCTCCCCAATACCAGCCCACGGGATGTGACATTGGCGTGTCACATCCTCCGCACAGCAGACCTGCAATTCGCAGGTTGTGGGCCACTGACTTCGTCAAGCGTCGGGGATCATTCGAGAGGTTGTAACACGGTGCTGCCAATCGGCTCCGATCAGATGCTACAGTGACCCGAATAAGATCACGCGCTCCCGACCATGAAGGTCGAAAGGAGCCACAAATCGGATCAGGCACCGTGCGGACTGGATCCGGTACCGATTGCAGCACTTGCGACTCATCGCCAGTCACTCCATGTAGTGTTGGGGCTTTTCCGGGAACTAGGCAGTCTTTCTACGGTTTTGTGTTTGTCATCCAGCATCTCCTCCAGTCATTGTCATCCAGCATCTCCTCCAGTCACTCCTGCCACGGCAGTGTCACTCCTGGTTGAGGTTGCCACAGTTGTAGCTGTTAGTCGGGTTTAGGATGGTTTAGGGCTCTTGAGCAAGCACTTGTTCGAATTTTGGGAAGCCAGTCTCTGACCTTTTCGGGTTTTGGGTTTGCCGTCCGTCATCTGAATTCACTTCTGTATGATCTTGGCTTGCTGAGAGGCGGTGTTTGACCATGATGTGAGTGATGTAAATGCAGTTCTCCCTCCACGCTCCATCGGGGTTAAATTTCCCTCTTAAGATTCAGAAGGTTTGATCCTGCGCGAGGATCATGCCGAGTCGGGTCGTTGCTGGCCGGATGCTGTCTGCTGATCCTGTTCTGGCCTGGCAATGCCTGGCACATCCGAAGCACGTAAGCCGCTACTACGGGTTTCCAGCTCCACAAGAGAAGCACGCGAATGCATCACCGAACGACACCCCCGCTTCGTGGGCAAGGCTTTATTGCGCAAAGTGCTGGGATCTCGCGTCGTGACTTCAGGAGATCCCAATCTCTCGCCCGAACCAGACGTTTCGATATGGAGGCATGTGTAGCATGTTGGGATGCCGACTTGGCTTTTCGTTTGACACAAGCTCCCGTTTGAACCTGGCCGAGCCTTCTTTTCGTTGGCCTTCAACGAGTCATCACAGTGGCTGGTCATTGCCTTGGCTGGCTGAATCTGGCCGGCCCGTACAGTTCTCCCCTCCTTTGCAAGCAAGGCACGTGTTTCTGGCCCTCCCACACTGCTTTGTAGAGCAAGCTGCCTTTCCGACCAGCAAGGAAATTAGAACCTTGGATGCTATCTCGACGCTCGGAAAGCATAATCTGAACTCCCATGTTCTTCGAGACGCTGAAACTGCCGCGACGACATGACTGGCCCGATGTCGTGTAGGAAATCAGGTCGTGGTCGTTGATGCGATCCAAAATGGGGGCCAAGTCTTTTGCTACAAGAAAATCCTCAGATTGTCGGCCGTCCAGCAAAGGTGGAGTGATGCACTACAGCAGGCGATAGCAGACCCAAACCTCCGGGTGATTGAATGACAAACTGAGCCGTGGTCAGTATCCAGATACATCCCACCATGATGATACAGCAGTGCGTACCTTCGCGCAGCATGTGAGAATAAAAGCCGAGAACAAATGTTTGGCCACCCTGCTGCAGATTTCCCATGGCATTTGCCGCACCGGACAATGTCAGACTTGGCGGCGTCGTATGGCATGCGCTCAAACTCTGCTGGCAAATCCGGAATAAATGCCTGCAGAAGCAATATCGGTTGACATCGAAAGCCGCCCCATGTGTCTGTATGAGGTGCAGCTCATGACGACAGGGCACTCGGATATTGGTATCGTTGATCATCCACGGGAAGTGGCAACGTCCATGCGAGTAGTGCAGCCATGACTCCAAGTTCTTTGAAATGAACCTGAGCTCGCAGTGACATCAACATGCAGAGACTTGCTAGCTGCTAGCTGATGCCCGGCAGCCTGGAAAACAAGTCTAAAGTGCGGCTGTGTTGCATCGGCGGCCCGCTGGGATAGTTCCACATGACAAAGATGTTGCAAAGGCCTTGCGCAGCCCCTTTTGGCTGAGCCTGCCGGGGGACCTTGGACGGTGCCTCAAGGGTCTGAGCTCGATTTGCACCGAGCCCCTCCCGGCTGGCCGGCAAGGTGGCTTGGTCTGGAGGATCTACGTCCACGTCCGCGGCATCAGCGGCACGTGGCAGGGAAGGCTTCGATGCCATAGCCGCCCTGCAAGCACACTCCCTGGTGCCGCCTCGCTTGAGCCAGGTGCAACCCGCGCCTCAACTCAGCAATCTCGCGCCGAAGGTCCGCCACCTCATCCTTGACAACACTGAGGACATCACTCCCCTCTACTAGAAACATAGGAGCTGCGGACACTGGGCTGATCCTAGGTCTTGAAAAGTCTCCTGGTGGCTCTTCTCCAGGCGCTGAAGCCGCGCATTCAATTCCCCCTGCACGGCTACGGCCTCATGCTCCGCACCTGTCACCGTTGGCCCTGCAAGCCGACCATCCGTCACTCTCATTTGTGCCTCCCGACTCCTGCCTGAGCGGTCGAGCCAGCTGAAGTTTTCCCAGAGCGCCAGCAGCGCCAAACCTCCTCCGGCAAAACAACACATCCATGGAAAGGAAATCGTACGAGCACCACCCCGTGCTCTGTCCTGTAGGCAATGGCCAGGGTAGAATAGTTCAATCACTACTGGCAAGACTTCCGCCACCGCAAGCACCGGTTTTCTCGCAAGATCAGAATCATGCCCACAACCATCCGCATCCCCAATTCGATTCCGGTACAGCTAAAGTAGTACCTCACGCGTTTGCTTCGATTCTCTCGCCTCCCTCCAGGGAAGCTATGCCCACAGAAAGCGTCCACTATTTATCTAGCATGGGAAGTCGAAACTTGACTGGTCATTCCGACCCCCAAGGTTGTTGTGCAGTGCCATGTCAAGGCAGTCCACCGCCCTGCTTCGAGATGTGTGGTCTCCCTCAGCCCGGTTCCACCTGCCTGGTCTCTCCCCGTGACGCCTGCCGTGTCATTTGTTCAAGCTGGCCCTTCACCTCAGACTGTTGGACTGTGCTGGCATTCACATCCACAGCGGCCCGAAATGCTTCCCGGAGTTTCCTGCGATGGTCGCAAGGCTTGGAACCAGTAATCGTCGCCATCGCCAGCGCATGCGGCATTCGGACAGATCAATCTGCTGCGATGGGACACGGCCCAGTCTGTTAAACTACAACGATCGGAGGTTTTGGGCTGTACGCGCAAAGCATTTAAGCCAGGAGTAATTCCTTCAGCCGCATGCTGCAGTCACTAGGCATGATTGCAGACGAGGGTGTGTGTGTGTGTGTGGTCTTCGAGCTGCAGGTGGCTGCGGCTCGGCTTCTCCACTAGTTGCATGCTCTGCTTTGCCACCCTGACATCCCGTGGCAGCGCGGCCTCCAACTCCGCATGGTCCTCCGGTGCAATTGGCACCTGGAGAAATGCGCGCCATGCTCGACTCGCTCCCGTCGCTGCCGCTGCCCGAACTCCTTTGAACCCCTTGGCCTGGCCCGGCACGGAGATGTCAACAACTCGGTGCCTGAGGGAAAGAAGGAAGAAACGGTCGTGGCAGGCCCCCTCACGCAGCTGCTGACAGGTTGCACATCGTTGGACATCACGAGATAGTGGGGAGCCCTGCAGCATGAATTGGAAACTGTCGTCTCCGGCTTGCCGAGCCCTGAAAGCGGAGCAGCCTCGACTGCTTGCAAGAAGCCTGACCTGCACAGAACGCAGGCGGCGCAGGAACGAAAATCCAGTGAGCCAAGCTGGGAACCGAGCTCGCCCATGCAGCTGCAAAGCCATGTTGGCACCAGGTGCACGGGGATGCTTCAAGTTCCACTCTGTAGAGGATGAAGTATAAACAACTGAGCTTGGCTGGAGAGACGGGCACTAGATGCTTGCGGAATTTCTTTTGTGCCGTGCTGTTCTTCGACACCTGGAGCCAAAGGCGACCCATGGCTTTGGAGTTGCAACGTTGTCAGACAGACACTTCCTACGAGGCAATGTGTGCGGGCAGACTGTCCTCGTCACACATAAGTCAAGTTTGACAGCTACCCGATGTCACACAGAAGTCAGCTTTGACAGTGCGTGCAGCCTGGTACTTGGGCCCAGGCTCGTGAGCGCATGTTTTGCTTGCAAGCGCCTCTGACAGCGTCTGCATGATCGAAACAAAGAAGCCTGTTAGTGCCTGCCTCTGAGTCATCTTTGTCATCACCATCGCCCGGAAGGGCCGACCAGTCCTCGGAGTACCTGGCAGAAGCAGGGAATCCTCGAAGCGCCCCGCTCTGCATCTCGAACAGGTTTACATTGATACAGGCTGTAGTACGTACAGACAATGGCCGCGGCACATCTCATAAATGCTGTAAGCCGAAGCCGTGGACAGGCGATACCTTGTGGGCTTGTAGTACATGCTTGTCAGCATCCGACGGTCTGTCATGAAAAGGAAGAGAAAGCGTTGGCTTCTGGGCTCCTTGCTGCCGAGGCATTGCAACAAAGGACGGAGGGTCCCAGCCGCGGTGCGAGTCGGGATTCTGAATCACGAGCCAGGATCCTAACACGGCCCCACCAGGTAGTGCATCGTTGTCTACCATCAAGAGATGCTGCACATTTTCAGGTATCCGTCACATTAAAACTAGGTCGCAGAACTATGCAATTGTTTTCGCCCCACAGTCTGACTCCGTACCAGAAGCAGTGGCCACAGGCGTCGGCTGCCCCGCCACAAGCTGTGTACAACGTCACAACGTCAACGTCAAAGCTCTGTCAGCTCTTCTTGGTCATTCTGCGGCTTCTCGGCTTCATTGTCTTCAGTTTCAGCTTTCGGCACTTCATCCTGCCATTTTCTCAGAAAGCATGTCTGCAAGAATCTCGAGGCTTTCCCGAACCGAAAGAGACAACCTGGCATGGGCTGGATGTTGGCTTCTGGGGGCACGGCATGCTGGGGCTGATCTTGGCTCTCTTCGGTCTCTTCGACCTCCTCTTCTGGCAGCGTCCACTGTGTCTTCCCTTTCTGTGCCTGAGCGCTTGCATACATTGGAATTGGCTCAGCCTGCGATCGTCGACTGGCTACTGTCTCCATGCAGCGGATAAAGTTCTTCTCAGTGCCAGGATTCGTTGACGTAGTAAACCTTGCCAGTGGTTTTGGAAATCTTGCTGATCCAGCCCTTCGGGAGCTTTGCGCTCACCTTGAGGCTTTCCTCCAAACCAGTGGACCTTAAGGGTTCTCGAAAACTCCGGACCGGGATATGCAACGGCCGTTCTGAGGCTGCTGGCTTCACCAGCTCAGCGTGCTCCGTGACTTCTTCTGATGTCATGCACCGCTCGTGCATCCACCAAGCTTGTGCCCCCATGGCCACCCAGATCTCCTTGTTCACACGGACCTGGCAACAACTGACGCAGAGTCTACCATGGATGCAAAGAGGCTCGGCAGAAGCACAAGCCCCGCCTTTCCAAACATGCGGGAGGAGGCGCGGGCCATGCAAGGGAAGCACACGCTCTTGCTGCAACCTAAGGCTCTGGCTCGCAGAAACAAGTACCGAACCGCAGACACATCCGGCCCTTGCCACTTTCTCCCATCGATCCAGCCGACCGTGATAAGAGCCGGACCAGCAGCTGTCCCATCCGCCCGAATCCGGAAGCACAGGACACCGCTTTCCTCGCGAGATCTCCTACAACTAAGCACACTGCAGGATAGGACGATGCACTGTACCACTGCATAACATCGTAGCCAAGCTACGGAGTCCACGACCTGGACTCAAACAGCCGTACTGATGTCATCCGATAAGTTTGAAACAGATTGCCGGCCTGTTGAAGGCAAAGTCCGCAAGTCGCACCACGGACCATCTGCTTGCCGACCTTCGTGCTTGGCTCCGGCTTGGGCACCTGATCAGCAGCTGGCGATTCTTCTTCTGCGCGAGAGCAAAACTGCCATTGCAGTAGGGTCCTCGCCTTCACGGCCCTTTTCGATGAAAGATCTTGCAGCAACGGGACGGACTCCTGCTTCCAATGAAGCTACGTGAGGCCACAAAAGCTCAACAACCTGGCCGTGTCCTGCCAACTTTTCCTGACGTCGCAAGGCTTCAGAACATGCTGGGAGACATGTCAGTTTAAAATCCCAGATATCTTTCCCCAAAAAAGGCATGTTCAAGCCATGTCGGCTCACGCGATCGCTCCCTCGATCGCTCCTCACTCAAAATGCCATGGCAGTGCGAAGCTAATTGTCTTCTTCGTGCCGCCACGGGTCGCATAAGTCTTTCCCATGTCGAGGAAGCGTGCTTGCATCTGCGATGCTACTTCTTGTGCCACGGCAGGAACAATGGGCACAGGAACCGCCGGTGGCAGAGCCACAAAGCCAAGAGGGCCCTGAGGGCCCGTCTCTGCAGGCGCGCCAGACACGTCCGTGGCTGGAACAGGAACAGGAGCTTTCTGGGCTCTCGTCGCCGTCGCCGTGGTCAATTGGTCAGTGCCGTCACCTCCTCGAGGTTTCTGCATGGGCTTCATCGCGAAGAAACGGTGGCTGGGTCTGTGGATCTCCTGCCGCCGCTTGTAACACTTTCTGCAGAGGCTCACATCCTCGCAGATCGCACACTTGAAGCGAGGACCGACGATCGGCTCCATCGCGCAGTGATCGCAGACTGCCTCGTGGACCTCTGGGTTGGACTCCTCGGAGCTGGACTGCTCCGGCTCGGGCTGCTCGGGTTCTGGTGACCTTTCCTGCTCGCCGTCTCCCGCATCGCCGCCAAACCACTGCATGTCCTTGGAGCCGGTACTTTGACTTGAGCGCGTCACGCGAGTGCATCTGGCTGCGTCCTCGTGCGCTGTCTGGCTGACGTGGTGCTCCTTTTAGGCGTAGACAGTTGAGAAAAGTCCCAGAAACGAAGCGGCAAGTCCTCTGGTGCGGCTGGCGGCTGCTCGGCACTTTCGTTCAAGAGCCTATTGGGGCCTGGCACGAATTTGGCAAACAGATTTCGCTGTAGCTTTGCTACGAACTCTGCGCAAGCTGTCGGAGCCTTTCTTTTGCTTCTTGGCGGCTGAAGAAGACGAGGAGGACGACGATTTCTTCTTCTTTTTCTTCTCCTTGTCCAGGTCATGACGATAGCAGTAAACCCAGGATTGTGCCATGCTTCGCGTCTTGGCCTGCACCTCACCTTTGATTTGGCGTTTCCGCTTCTCCACTTCCTCCTCGAGTTTCTTTATCTGCTTCGCAAGTTTTTTGGCTTTCTTCGCTTCCTTTTTGGCCTTTTTGGCCTCTCAGAATGGCTTGGCATGCCGGTGGTGGCAGAGATTCAAAACGCTGCAGTCAGGCACCTCTTTCTTTGAGGCTTTTTTGGCCTTCTTATCGCCATTCTTTTTAGCAGCCTGAAGCACGCACGTCTGAGTGTCTGAGAGGAATTGCAACGCACTGTCGTGGTGGCACCGCTTTGCTGGTAGGCCTTGGATGTGGATTCACTCGAGGACGTGCGGCCCATGGAGACACATGGCGTCGTGCGTCCAGTCAGTCATACCTTGTGAACATAAGATGTCTTAACGGGTGGCTAGTGTAGTGAGGCTGGTGGCTGAAGCCTTGCGGATGAACTGTGAGTGCTAGTTCAGCTTCCTTTGACTCGAGCTTCTTCCGCTTCTTCCGCTCAGTGATGACACGTCATCTCAGTGCTCGGGAGCTTCAGGGATATTATCTGACTGCGGTGCATCCGTGATGGCTGCGATCGACCCAACACAGGCAAAGGGCCAAAGGGCTGAGGGGCTCTTCTGGGTCAGTCTATGCCCTCATCCACAAAAACACTTTCATTCATCCAATTTTTTGGTATCTCATGTGCATAAACTGTATGGGATTACAAGCATCGCATACTGTTCTTGACTATGTGCTGCGACATGGATACCCGGTAGCAAGGTCCTCGCGAGCGTCCGCAGCTTATTCCAACCGGCCTTAAATTGTTGTAGAGTTTTAACTACCTGCTTCAATGTGACGTGAGGCCAGTATATACCGGTCTTGCTGCTGATCAGCTGTCTAAGGTGCTGTTTAACTAATTGGACATTGTCTCTTTTCTCTCGTGTGTGTCTGTTACCTGCTGCACCTGCTGTTGCAAGTTTGTCATTACACACATACTCCATCTGGAGCATACTCTGCGATGCTTTAGTCTAGCGGCCTAGCGCATAAACAGTAGTGCCTGTCATCTGTGTGGCCAAAACATAACATATATCATTTGGACAGATCGCCAAAGACAAAGAGAGGTGGACAAATTAGATTTGTGTATGTGGGCATGCTTCCCCTTCAAGCTCCACGAATTGCAAAACCTCCGTCAGCTAGCAAGTGAGCCAACGGATAATATGATTTGGACAGGTAAACCAACTAGATAGAGAAATGGACAGATAGCTAGCGCGGGACCGGAAAGAAGCGTGTGCAGCTCGATGATGCTGAACTCTTCGTAGAAAGCAGGCGCGAAAACACGCGGAACAGATACGAAGTCAGCACAGACAGCTCGAGTACGCTTACAGGGTGCTGCTTGCACTCCTCTCTTGGAGGGACTATCGGCTCAACATGAAGAGACACCCACAAGCATTCTTCCAACCCAAGCTCGAGCACTGGCTCAACTGGAGAGGCGCGCCGATTTTGGTCGCCCATAAATGATCCGCAGCCCTTCTGCTTCGAAGCCACACGTTTGGTTCCTCACGGCTTTCGCACAGAGGAGCTACAATTTTGGACTAGTGTGTAAGACCCTGTAGACATGCGGGGGCATGATCGACAAGCAACTGAACCGCGGTAATTGGCTGATTGGCTATAATCCTCTAGACGCCGTCCTGAACAAGAGTTGGGTCCTGGCCCTTGTTGGTTTAAGGCCTCTCGACGTCGCAAGGCTGCGTTGGGCCGTGAGTGGATCGCAAAGCCTGCCATAACTTCTGCCAGGGTAGCATGAAGGGGTCAGCCATATGCAAACTGTGAACTTTGCTCGTGCAGCGATTAAACTGATTAAACGACTCTGGCAATCAACGCTTTGCAAAGCTCGTCGAGCTTCCTAGCACAGTTGGCCTTCCGGACCCATGATTGTCGGAGCGCTGATGCCGGCTGCCTGCATGCAATTCCACAAGCCTTGCAAGAAAAACTCAGGAAAACAATTTGATTTACACTGGAGACTGATTCGGAAAACATCAGCGGCAGCAGAAGGGGGTCTTGGGAACACTGCTTCTGGCCAGGATGAGAGATGATGAGAGCATCGAGTGCGATGGTGGTCGGCGGGGCAAACTTCCTCTTGAATCTGAAAGCATGGAACAATCGTCCATGTTAACCCCCCGGTCCCCCGGCTCCCACCACAAACTACTTAATTAACCTGAGCAAGAGCTTAGAATCCCGAAACATTCACACACAGACCATGCATAAATTTGCCGGACCGGTTTCCTTACGGCCAAAGCGACGAAATCCTCCGCCAGCTGCCATGAAGTGTATTGGGCTGTACGAACTATGCTGGATTGCAGGCCCTGAGTGATGGGTGGCAAACCCCGAACGGAGATGTCGGTTGGAAAAATTTTAACGTTCAAAAGATTATCCTTTTCGCTAAGCCCGGCACCCGAAAAGGAAGTGTTGGTTGGGAGAGTCCCAAAACAGAAGATCGCGGCCGGTTAAACCGGAGCCTTACCGTCCTTTTTTCTGATCAGGTACGTTGGGTGGCAAACCCATGCTGGTAGACAAACCCGAAGACCGTACAAAAAGCTGTTGGCTGCTAAGCTTGGAAAACCCCCAAAGACTAAACGGAGATATTGATTGGCAAACCCCATACCCGAAAAGACAATATCGGTTGGCAAACCCGGAAAGCCCCAAAGAAGAAGATTTGGTTGGCATTTGGTTGGCAAACTATCCGTAATTTACCTCCGCAAACCCAAAACCCCAAAGTCCTAAAGAGATGTTGGGTAGCAATCCCGACGCCTCAAGGTAGAGATGTTCGTGGGCTAAGCCCCAAAACAAGAAAAAAATATTGGGGGCCAAGCCCCAAACTCTGAAGAAGAAGACATTGGCTGGCAAACCCTTTCATGGCAACCCCGACATGCCATTGTGGCTCTGCAGGGCTTTGCAGAGTTGTGGGGTTGCACAGCCGTACCAAAGCGAAAGAAGTAGCAGCAGCAGGAGCATGCTTCGGCGCTGCTTTCTGGGTCGGTCCTCAGAGTTTGCCGACTCTGTTTTCCGAATCGTCGGCCCGTATTTCTGAATCGGCCCGCCTGTTTCTCCAGATTGGTTTGCCTGAATCGGGGCACAGTTCTTTTACAACCTTTCTCCTGTTGGCTTCCGTGGAAGTTTTGCCGTGCCGCGGCATCGACATGCGGGCTGTTTTTCGCTCTTTGTTTTGCTTTGCTTTGCTTCGCCTCGCTTTGCTTTGCTTGCTTTGCTTTGCTTGCTTTGCTTCTCTCTCTCTCTCTCTCTCTTGCTTGCTTGCTACGGGTTTGTGCGCAAGCGCCCCGGCCAAAAACTAACCCCTCCTGAGTTCGCGTCGGTACGTGTAAGCGGCCCCTCTCGGGGTTGGGTGTCTTTCTGTCTCTCTCTCTCTTGCTTGCTTGCTTGCTTGCTTGCCTGCTTGCCTGCTTGCCTGCTTGCCTGCTCAGCGTGCAGGTTAACGAGGTGGGACCCCGTCAACCCTGCGCTCTCTCTCTCTCTCTCTCTCTCTCTGTGTCTGTCTCTGTCTCTCTCTAGGATTCCGTTTCCTTCTATGCACACCAGAGCTTCACATCCACGGTCAAGTGTGAGATGAGATGACACCATTATTTTTTACAGGCCGTCCAAGTAGCCAACAGAGTATTAGAACCTTCCGCAGCCCAGCCGAACAAAAGCGAATGCAGCGAGGACATGACCTCGTCTGGTGAGGCTGTGGTTCGCCGCTCCTCTGCCTGCAAGTGCAAGCACATGTTCCGAAGAACTTCTTCCACTTCTTGCTGCAACATATGTTTATCTTCACTAACTCAACTCTCTTCCACCACGAATACCTCCACAAGCCAAAGCCCGAGCTTCCCGAGATTCGATTCCCCCTGGCGTCCTCGGCGTCCCCGTTCTCGGCAAGCGCTTCCACTGAGCTCTGCCTGGAATCGTCCGCCTCGCACAGCTCGCACAGCAGGAGCAGACCCCATCCCCGAACCTTAAGGCCTTCAGGCCATGAAGGCCTTGGACTTCCTGGAGGGTCGGAGGGCTTAGTAAGTAGGTAGTAAGTAAACATTAGTTAGGATTGTGGTAACTGCAATCTATAACTATAACATTACTTACATCTACTGTCCCGGTCACCTTTTCCGCAGCTGCTCTTGAGTCAAACCCGTCGCGATCCGCGAACCGACCGATTTGATCAAGCCGCTTCAGGACCTCAGGAAGGGGCTTGAACTGCGGCGGCTTCGGTGCCTCCACCAAATTCCAGCATCTGCTCCTCCGCTGCGTCATACTGGGGCAGTTGGTCCTCAGCCTGATGGGCTGAGCCAGAGGCAACACAGAGCAAGCCGCAGTGAGCTGGATTCTGCATTTAGATCGGGCTTTAGGCTTTCAGACAACTTTAGCCACTGCAGACAAGGCTCCCCAACATACCTGAACCTCGGAACCCCATCCCACCTCGGAGGCTGAGGCGTCGCCCTGCCCTCCTGGGTCCTCCATCTCAGAGCGTTCTGCAGATACAAGTAGCTCCGCACACTCCGCATCAGTCTGGGCCATGAGGGAGCTGCACTTCAGCTGAATGAACTTTGCCGTCGCAGGGCACATCTCGTCAAAGGTAGCGACCGAAGCTCGCAGGGCGCCTCCTAGCTGTCTCGAAGCACTGTTCAGAGCGTACAGAGACCGATTGTTCAAGGTCCAGTATACCGCATTGAACTTCACAGCCGTCAGTGGCAAATCGGAAGGCTTCAGCCTGCCCTCTGCTAGCTCCGCAACGATGTCGTCGATCCGGCGACCCTTCAGCGATCCATGCGCGAACTTGGAACTCACTGAGGATTGAGTAAACCATATGTCTGAGACGGGTATCGCCTGTCTGGCAGTGGCGCCGTGTAAAACAGCGGAACCGTTGTTGGAGTTGCAGATATCGTCCAGAAGCTTGCTCAGCAGAGGCAGCGAAGGCATGCGCCATGCCCTGCCTGATCACGGAGATCGTTATTTATGGATTGCAGGTAGGCGTGCACGGCACCGTGGTTTTGAGGCTTGCTAGCCGCCTCGAGCGCTTCCATCAAGAGTTGTCGAGGTGTGTGGTTCACACAGTGTCAGTAAGGCTTACAAAGGCAGCAAACCTGCCAGTCAAGCTCGAGAGGAAGGAAAGCGCATCACTCTAACCCGCCTCCGGCAGGGACCTCCTGACCTTCGTTGACCTCCATCTCGTGCGTAGAGAGGCGCGGAAGCGGCGGCATTGTCATGGCGAAATCGCCTGCAAAGCAGAACCCAGAGCACGAAGAAAATCACCGACAGTATCTGATGGTTTGGGTCACGCCCTCCGTGCACCAACATGCTGTCGTGCTTGCTTGCTTCTGAGGATTTGAGTTTTATTGGTAACAGCGCCTCTTGTCAAGAGCCTTCCCAGTCTTTCGGGTCTTTGTATGCCCAAGCATGACCGTTTCGGTGAAAGCTCGCTTGGTCCAGTCGCACAGTAGTGTTTTGCAGCTCTTTCTTGCTTGCTTGCTTGCTAAGGGGTATGGGCCCTGTCTTCTCTTCTCTTCTCGGGGGATGAGTTCGCGCGCGAACCCGGGCCTAGGCCCCCCCTTCCCCGTTTAGGCGGTGGAAGAGGCTTTGGGGTGTTCAGCGGTCGGGAGATTTTGCCCTAGTGGCAGGTGCGACCGGCAGAGTACGGCTGGCAAGGAACCAACCCTCCCTGTACTTTAGCGCGCGTCCCGGCCTCGTCACCGCGCTCTCTTAAGCTCCGTCCTTAGTCCCTCGCCAGCCAAGTACTCCCCCCACGCAGAACCCGCGGCCGGTAAGCACTCCCCCTATGCAGCAACACGACTAAGCACAGGACGTTCAGGGAGTGTGGGGTAGTCAGTGTGCAGTCATGGGCCCTGTCTGTCTTTCTCTCTTTCTCTCTGTCTCTGGTCTCTCGGTCTCTCGGTGTCTCTCTCTCTCTCTCTCTCTTGCACTCCCTCTTCTTCTCCAAGGCATAGAGGGCGAGTTAAGACCCGCGGCCACTGGGGCCGCCCATATTTGGCTTTTGAGGGGAGTGAAAGTCATGAAGGAATGTTTGACCGAAAAGGCAGGGAAGATACATTGCAATTATGTTGTTTCGGTCTCATTCATCCAACTCGTTGACACTCTATAGATGTTTTACTTGAACCCCCTCGCTCTCTCTCTCTCTCTCTCTCTCGCTGTTTTTGCCTCTGCAGTCTTTATTGGACAATGCAAGCCCACCTGAATTCTGATTCTGGCAGCTGGACGGAGCTTCTGCTGGACATTCCGCCTCCAGCTTTCGCTTCGTTCCCTTTTCTCTGGGGGCCTCTGCCGACTCTGTGCTTAGAGCCATTGGGCTTCTCATCGGGAGCGGTCCGCACAAGTCTTGGTGGCTTCGCTTGGGTGGTTTGTAGGCTTTGAGTTCGCTTGCTTGGGCAGCTTCGCCGACAGGCGTCTCAGTCGTCGTTGGGGCCACAACCATCTCTTGAGCAGTGGAGGTCAGGGCCAAGCCCAAGCCAGCCACAAAAAAGTCTTGCAAGCTGTTCAATGACTTCCTCCACTTCCAAGGAGGAAATAGCTTTTTGACTTCTTCCCAGCAAGCATCCGCTGTCTTCTTCAGCACGATCTGATTAGAGGCGTCCAACAGCCAAATCCCGTTGGCCTGCGTTTGCACAATAGCTGGTGCCATGCACGCCGAGTCTTTCTGCCACGCTTCAGCCACAAACTTGTAAGCAGCCTGCAAGGTTGCCTCGCGCTTGGCGGCGCGGCACAACCAGGATAGGACTTCTGGGCCGGAAGGCTCAATGCTCAAATCCAGCAACCGCTGGGCCAGTGCAACTAAGTCGGCACTCTGAAATACCTCAACCACATACTCTGGGCCCAGAAACTGTTCGAACTTGGGTCCCATGAATCTCTGGTCTGCCCGACGCACCTGGCCTGAACGATCTTCGATTACACAGCGCCGGCGCAGCTCGGCAAGGTCCTCACGAGCTTCGTAAACATCGAGCACTTTGTTCAGGTCAGTGGAGATGTTCCGACTGGTAAAGATGCCTTTGGGTAACTTTAGCCGCTCTGCTTTCGAAGTTTGTGCTCCCAGGCGAAGGAACACAAGCTCCCACCAAAGCTGTGCTCGGAATCCACTGGCACTCGGCGGATCTCTCAGGACTCGGCTGCGGTCGTAGCCGGGCATTGTTGGCTTGCAGCCCAATAGAAAAGGACTTTCCAGCTCCCTGGCATCGTGTAGAAGATTCATGCAGGAAGGCACCACTAGACTTCTCATCAAGTCGGCCATCTCCTGTTGGCTCTGGTGTGCAAGCCATGTCGCACTCGCTGAGCTTTCCAAGATGTCCTGCCAGCGTCGCCCGAGGTAAGCGAGATTCGTCCATGAGAAGCGGTGATCCTTGCAAGGTCCCCCCCCAAGCCCCTAGATCCATGAACGTTGAGGCGGCAAAACAGCGAAGTCAAAACAGCAAGGACGCAAGTGGTGGGCTTTCTACAAGTACCCCAGTGCTCCTCAGTTTGGGTCAGGCCCACTGTCTGCTGCACAATCGCATACGCCACGTCTCGATGGGTGGCCCTGCCGCCGCAGCCTAGGAGCTTGAGCAAATCCTTGTCAGCCTGGCAAGCGCACGCATTGTCCAAAACTCTCAGCAAGGAGTGGGTGAGCCTTTCGGCACAGAGCCGAAGATTGGATCATCCCCACAAGCCATCCAAGTCTTGGCAGAGGAGGGGGAGCTTGCAGTGGCTTTCGGTGTCTTTGTCGTTTCCTGTGTCTTTGCATCCAAGCCATCCTGAGCTTGGCCTCTGCCCAGTACGAAGAGCGGGGCTTTGCGTAGCGCTACCAAGTCCACTTCGTGACATCGCTTCGCCAAAGCCTTCACCACATCCTTTCGCCAAGACAGCCCCCGGCTCTCGAAGCGGCAACCTTCGGCGCCTTGGCCTTCGAGCGGAAGGCTCAACAGTTCAAGAAGGTCGCAGGTGCTGAATTCCGACATGGTCACGTCCGTTCCTGCTGGTAGTTGTTGCAAATACTTCCCCACAGGAATCCCTAATCCAATCAGTGCAAGGTCTCCAGCTGTGAGGTGCAGCAACCGCAATAAGGGTGAATCTGGTCGTCCACACCGGCTGATAGGAAGCAATCGGTTTTTCAGCATGTCCGTATCTTCCACTGGAACAAGGGGCACTTCCTGCAATCCAGATCTTACTCTTTGCACAAAGGGTGCCCAGAAAGACATCTTTGCCAGCTCGGTCCCTGGCTGCAACAGCCAAGCCCTCATCGACAAGCTGTCACTACTATCTGCAAGGGCTGTTCTGGGAGCACTCTTCGCGACAGTGGCGAGCCAGAGCTCAGCCAATTCATCTCTAAGCCGAGCATTTCTTTCACTACCTTCCATTAATGCCTCACGATTCGCCGTTAGATCGAACTGTGCGTTTAGGGGCGTCCGCAAGCCGGAAAAGTTTGAAAGCGGCAAGGTTGTGGAAACTGGTGCAGCAACAGGAGCGGCACCAGCCATTGGGAAGGCAACAGCCACTTGGGATGTCCCGGCTCCGGCCCTTGCTACTTTATAGGGATGTTCCTCAACATCGCCATTTTCGATACAGTGGTTGAACTCGCCTGGCTGAGGACTTGTCCGACATCTCGTGACAGAGACAATTGTGCGTCCAACTTCTGCTTCACGAAGACGGTACCTGCAGACCTCCCCATTCCTTTCGACAGTGACGTCTTGTAGTTGCCGCAAGAACAGCAACAGCGAAGGGTCCTTGGACAAACAAGAAGCACCGTAAATCTCAGTGTGTCTCACGTCGACACGAAGCAATGCTAGACTCTAGACGGAAGTTGAGTGCCGCACCACTTCTTGCAATAGCTCTGGGAAGTTCTGTCGCAACGGGAGGTAAACGGCGGTTCCGTGCAGGGGGGGCGGGAGGGGAATTTTGGCCTCGGGGGGTAGCAATTGTGGAGTCACCTGTGGC